CCCGGATGTGGGCATTCGTGCCAAAACAGTTGCTCTGAGCAGTGTACGGTAAAGTGTACTGCTATTACACTGAGAAGCTGGCCCTGTGGTCACGTAAACAAGACAGCGTGTCACGTGGATCCTACGCAGACAGCCTGTAAGGCACCGTGTGGAGAGAATTTGAAGTGTGACCACCCTTGTGCTGGTAAGTTTGGACGCATTAGGCGCTCAAAAGGGGGAGGGGGGGGGGACCTAGTGAAATCATCTACCCGGTTTATTCAATAAAGGATAGACATTGACCAACTATTAATATTTCTAATCTTATGATTGTGTTATAATCATTCATCTTTCATTTTCGTTTTTTTTTTCACATATGTCAGGTGATTGCAGTCTGTGTTTTCGAGGTCGAGTTCATGTTCCTTGCAAGAAAAACTGCGGCCGTACCCTATTCTGTGGTCATTCCTGTTCTGAGCCTTGTACCAAAAACTGTCCCCCATGCAAAGAACCCTGCGGCAACTCCTGTACGCACAGCAAGTGCAAGCAAAAATGTGGCGAGCCTTGTGAACCTTGCAACGAGAAATGCACCTGGCAATGTGAGCATCAGCGATGCACCAAATTATGCGGAGAGGAATGTGATCGTCAGCGATGTAACGAGCCCTGTAAAAAGCGTCTTCCTTGCAGGCATCCCTGCATTGGTCTTTGCGGGGAAAAATGTCCAAAGAAGTGCCGAGTGTGCCATAAGGATGAGGTCACCGAGATTTTCTTCGGAACTGAAGAGGAAGAGGACGCAAGGTTTGTGGAACTGGCTGATTGTGGCCATGTGTTTGAAGTTGAGATGATGGACCAGTGGATGGACCAGGCCGAGGCAGGGAATGATGGGAAGGCAGTTGATGTCCAGCTCAAGCGCTGTCCAAAGTGCTCAACTCCTATTCGTACCAGCTTGAGGTATGGTAACATTGTTAAGAAAATTCTTGCTGACTTCGAGGAAATAAAGCGAAAGATTCTACTTGGAAAACAAAAACGTGAACAAGCGGTTAGTGGGCTAATTTTGAAAGCGCAGAAGATCAAGTTGTTTCCAGAAGACCAGAAGAAACTTGAGGAGTCACTGCTTCTCAAGAATCTTACAGATGAACAAGTGAATGTGTTTGAGAACCAGATCAGCCTGTTGTCTTTCCTCCAGAACCTCAAAGTTAAGATACACAAAGACGTAAACGCCGAAAGTGAGAGGGCGCAAGGAAGCTTTCATTCAATAAGACTACTGGAGGAAAGGAAGAAAGGACTCGAGAGTCTATTGGATAAACTGCGATTCCGTATCATGAAGGTTCGGGCGCGGTTCAGTGACCAGGAATTAGAGGAACTGAGTGAGGAGATGTACAGAACACGGCTTGCTGTTGACCTAAAGATTCTGAAGATGCAGCTTGAAATCCGAGGCCATACGCTGAACGCCACTGATTCCGTGAAAATTGACCACGTACAAAGAGCCTTGGATTCTGAGAAAGTGATTGGTAAGAGAATAGATAATGAAGGACAGAGATGAAGAACGCATTTAGGATATAGTAGAACACCAACAAAACTCCATCAGGCCCCAATTGTTCAAAGGGTGGATACTATCAAGCGTCACAGATAAACCTCTGGACAGCACAATTAGGTTCCCTAACACTTATTCGCTGGATAATGATTTATCCAGTGGATAGTGCTATCTACTTATTTGAAGAACTGGGACCTTATCTTATGTTCTAACAAGAACAAACCCCAGAGCTTGGGTGATTCTTTAGTATGGCTGTGTCAGAACAGGAGTTAAGGTTTTAACGTATAGATAAATCCAATTTAAAAGCACTGGTGTTTCAAAAATTTATCGTCATAACGAATCGTTATAATTAAGTGTGAAGCAAGGCGAATGTTTACGAATTCGATGGGAGAAGAAGAGGAAAGAGGAACCTAGAGAGAGCTAAAAGGAAAACTAGATTGTTACTAAATTCATTTCAAATTATTACGAAGATATATTTCGCAACTTCAAACATGGTCATAAATTAAAGTGCTATTTGTCGGCACATCAAAATTCTATAGGAAAATTACTATAGTCGTACCTCGCCAAGCATATTGTAAACTCGCTGTGCATTGTCAAGCATAACTTTCTATTTAAAGCGTTTTTCCTAAATCGCATTGAAAAATCATGAACGAAAGACTTTATCTGGATTCATTTTAGAAAAAGACGTCAGAGACCGTTATACAAATCGCATTAAGCGGATCGGACGTTCGTGCGGCCTTGAAGTGTTTTACCAGGAAGTCACCCGACAAGAAAAAGACCTGATTGTGAAGGCCATGGGTTTAAAACAAGGACATTGGTTCAAGTGTCCAAAGGGTAAGTATGGTCTCTCAATCCCCAATCTCCTAGAGTATTTTTAAGAAACACTCTTTCCAGCTGTTGATGCATTTAAACGGAATCTTCAGCAAACGCCACTTCAACCCGGCCTCTGCATGTTCTTCCTTTCGTGGAAAATTTAAATAACCACCCAGGTTACACCACCATTATAACATCCCGCTCCTTGCTAAGAAAAATTACCCTAGTGTCCACTTTGAATGATCGTGGGCTGTATTATTATTCTTATCTCATTATAGGACACATTTACTGCATCACAGAGTGTGGTGGTGCGATGGAAGAGGACCGCTGCCCAGAATGTGGCTCAGCGATTGGTGGTCGTAATCATCGTCTGAGAGATGATAATCAATTAGCAGGTGACATGGATGGAGCTCGTTATGCTGCCTTTTCTGACATGGCAAATATCCGCAACTTTGACCTCCGTCAATTTCGTTTTTGATAGATTTTTTTTTTTAATTTTCGTGTTGACGTTTTCTTTACCATAAATCTTGAAGCTATTAAAAATTGTGTTGAAGGAGGTGAACGGAGACAGTAATCTTACGCAGCGTTCTTTGAACGGTCATATCTTAATAGCTGCAAATAAATATTATAAATATTGCATCCAGGTAGTGTGCAATTATCGCTCTATTTAAATAGTCTAAGTAGGAAACATTTTTTTCCTTTCCTCTTTTCTTTAAAACTTCTAATGAGGAATAACAATAAGCTTTGGAAGACGAAAGAGACTCAAGATGAGAGTTGTTGACTTTTGACAGCTCTTCTTCGTTCGTTCTTTTTTGGTAATTTCTTTCAAAAGTTCAGCTGTTTACTTGCAAATAGAGAAATAGGGAATCCTTAAGAACCCAAGGACTTACAAGATGGGTACCCCCCCCTCCCCTTCGAGTTTAAGAGGTAATCAATTTGTACGGCGTACACACGGTAATTTAAAGTTCTTCAACGTTGTAACAAGCTAGGTTTAGAGTTTAGGAAAGCTGTCTTGAATTCCTATGTACTCAAAGCTGTTTTAATATTTGAAGTTGAGAATTCCATAGTTTTGGACCTCGAAATAATATTGTTATTGGATCATTTCCAAATTGTATACTTAGCATCCGAGCCTTGAGTGCAAGGGAGGCAGGAGGTGACCTTGTCTTGATCGAAAATTCACTTCAGAATCTTTCCAAATGGAACCATGGTCGTATGCAAATAAATGCCGCTGCGATTTCTAAAACAAGAAAGTCACGACCAGCCTCGCTTCCACTCAAAGGCTAGGTTGCTCAGCATACGATGGAAAATGGGCCTATTTTTATGTCAATTCTACAGGCATGAGGAGTGGATCGGTAGAGGGTAAGGATTGAAGGTACTAGGGCTTTTTACTATGTTCCTGCAATTACTGTTACAAACACAACCGTATTGTTTTTTGGCTCAGCTGAAGTAGAAAGGCATCATCTAGTTTTAAAAGCACTGATCGGGTACTTAACAAAAGCAAGTTAGTTATTTGCTTTTACACTTTGCAAGTGTGAATTTCATAAAACAGTTGAAACGTTTAAAAAATATATGTATTGAGGTTTCCTTAATATGGTAATAAAGAGCGATGAGGATACTTCATGCTTTGTAGACAAAGGTGTTTTCTCATTCCCCGCCCCTCTCCAATACGTTTGTAACACCGAGGGTACAATTTTAAGTTGAATCATTGATTATCATTGACTATTAATTATTATCCTCTCTTGTTCTTACTTCATCTGATTCTACCAATGGCTTATATATTTTTTCAGTAGCTTCCGAACGTTTGGAATCGAAGGGTAACCAATGACTGGGAAAAGGCATCTTGGCTATTTCCTCTCTTGAACTCCGTAAACACTGTTGTAATTGGTGAAGTGCTCCCGTTAAAACCCTTGGCCATAATCTCTCATTAACTTCTATTGACTCATTTTCAGATGAAGCCAGGCCTGCTCATCAACCAGAAAATTAAGAATCAACCCTTAACTTGTCGACCATTTTCAAATATATAATCCGTGCACAGCTCGTGTGTTTCAATGAATAATTACACATACATGGCTTCGATTCAGTGTCCGCTTAGAGAAGCGATTGCCATGAGAAACTAGTGACAGGTTTCTACGCTTCACCTAAGATGGCAACCTGGCAAATAATTTTGCACATGAATTGTGAAGACTGTTGGTTGAACGGACGTAGTCCTCAAAACCCTCTTTATACCGGTGGCGAGATGTGTGCGTGTGTGGACGGAGGGGGCAAATTGAAACCATGAAGAAGATTCCAAGTTAACAGCGTACTTCGGTAGTTCGATAAGTCACTAAAGACCTTATATTTGATCAAAAAATCTTAAATCAGATCTCCTACTATTACAGAGTTCATTTGTATGCGTTTAACCCGTTTAAATTGCGCACGTCTCTTTAACACCGCAATCCAAAGAATTCTTCATCAAGGACTTCTTGTTATTATGGACTATTCAAGCACATATTTCATTACGTTGCTCGAATTACCCATGACAAACTTGCAGAGGCGTTAATTTAGTTAGTTAAGTTTCCTTGGCATAGAGTCTATGCTACACCAGCATCCTTGATTAGGGCAACAAATGATGTAATGCTCGCGATATCGCTTTCCCATACACTCGCAGCCTGCGAAACCAGAATTTTTGTCACACACATTGTCACCGCTGGTGCACATTGAAACTCTCCGGAGGAAAAGTGTCTTGTTCCGCTGGGTTTGTTCCTTGGGACGTTTTTGATTGAGAGGTCCCACCGGATACCATTGTTTCCCGCGGGGATTGCTGAGGAATTCCCCCCGCAGCATTGGCACTGCTTGGTTGTTTAGGTTGTCTGGCACCGAATATTGTACTGCCTACTCGCACATTTGTACTTCCCATTAAAATCTGTAAGACATTAAAAATCGTTTCTTTTTAAGGTACGTTAAAACGGGAAACAAAAAGGTGCAACTTGTTGAGTGAAAAAAGATGTTTCGCGTTTTACCACTCACGAATGAAACTTGTCTAGCAACAAATCAGGTTGTTGTGGGTTGCGAAAAGCTGTTGCAGAATGTAGAGGGTGGTTCTACTTTTTGAAACAAAATCTGTACATGTACGTTTCACCGGCCCAAGGCAAACTTGCTTTGAATAGCGTGAGTTCCGCGTAATGTTAGTTTCAAAGCAACACGTTAAGATGAGGCTTCAGATAATACTTTGAAGAAAGACCTAAGGAAGGAACGTCTTTGGGCTAGCAATTCCTTTCTTGAGACCCTTGTCGCAGTTGTCGCATAGACGGGACTTTCGACAACTGGTACCAAGATCAATAAATCAATGATAATCCATGGTCAGGCATCCCCAATGTAGATACCCCTGAATGCAGGGCAGGGCAAGGTTTCTTGAGCATTATGCGTACTTCTGTGGCACTATGGTGTTAATAGCAACACGTAAATCAAATAACTACAGTACCAGCTAGTTGTACCAGCCATGGATTAGGGTACTTACCGCTTTGTCAAAATCACTTGACATTCCCATACTCAGCTCCACATTTTCCTCACTGAGGCCTAGTCTTTCACAGACATCTTTCCTGCACTGCACTAAGCACTACAAACAAACAAACAAGACAAGCGAAACAGAGTTACAGTAGTTGCACATAAGTAATGGCAATTCCCATTCCCTTCTCTTCCGTGTGCCATGTACAGCAACCTGGCTGTGGTTTTAATGCCTTCCAACGGGAAGTTCAGGTATATGGTCATGTGCACATTCATCTTTTGAATTTCTGCTGAAGAAAAACCAGCCAACAAACAATTCACATCTTTCTAATGTCCACACTCGCATATCACAGGATTTACATGTAGTTCCGTATTTACTGCATTTACTATCTCAGCACACAAAAACGTTTCTTATGTAAGGAAACAACATGACAGCAAGCCTTGAACCAGAAGCCTGTTTCTGAAAGTCCCGATAATTAATGGGCCCGGAAAGCTGCTGTTGATTACATCCAAGACAGAGCTTTCAATAGTTGTTCAAATAACATGATAAAACAACCAGTTAACATAACAGAAGTGAATGCTTTGTCAGCTAAGATCTCACTTTCAGTTCTGTAGATTGTGTAGTTTCAGAAAATATCCCATTCCTCCCCGACGGAGGGCACTTTTATTTTACACCCCCCACCACCCTGGAATTTCCGTTCCAGGGGGTGCTTGTCATATCCCCCTAACTCCTGGAATTTCAGTAATTTTCGAACTTGGTTTGGTGCCCGCTGGAAAGAATATTTCCCTCAAAAATGCCGTTGCACCATACTTTTATGCAAAAGACGATTGTTTCTGCGATAAAGCGTGAAAAATATGGAACATGACCACAGTGTAGTGAATATCCAGCCTCTTCCTCAGGCGCTCAGTTTTTCGCCAGGTAGAGGCGAGCGACTGGCGATGAACCGAAAGGGAGAGAGAGACGTCTGGATACGAGGCATGTGAATACCACAATATATTGTATAACAAAGCAACAGAGCAACAAAGCAACCAAGTTTATTAAGGAGCGAACGACAATCGTGTTACATGAACTATCGTACAAGCCATGAAAAAAGCACTCAGCTGACCACAAATAAAGGATCATCGATGAAAACAATAGTTTTTGCTTTGAAACACCGACAAACAGTAAGGTAACTGATAGCGTGCTCAAGAGAACGCTGTTAGTTTTAAATAACTCACCAATCTTACTCGGACCCCCCGGAAAAAAGAGCTCGAGAGGCTATCCCCACCCCCTCGAAAATTGCCTCATTTTGGACTCCCCCTCCCCTCCGAATTTCCGTTTCCCTCCGTGGGGGGTGGAGGGTATGGATATTTTCTGGAACTACACATTTTGATTTTAAAAGCGTTTTATTTCGGGCTAGAAAAGTTACCGGGACTTTCGAAAAGCGGACTGCAAGACCTAAAGATTGAACATTTAAGGTGTAAATGCCTTCACAATAAAATAAGCAAATCCTTACTCACAATGAAGTCAGGATTGCCCCCTTGACTCCAGTCATAGTTCATTTCACCAATTGTCATTAATCCGCTAAACAAGTTCCACACAGTGATCGCTTGAACAGCCATGTTTACCTATCAAAATATTATTAGGGTAAGTACAGTGTTCTTACCAGGATTTTCCACCTTGGGGTCCACACGACCCATGGAGCAGATAAAGGGGGTCATGAGGGAGAAAAGCGGGTCACAATTTTTAGATACAGTTAACTCAACTTTTACCTCACAGGTCTGAGTTAGAGTAAATACCTCGCACTTTCTTAGATAATAAAATATCCAATTTTTACATACAGTTAACTCAACGTCATACGGCTCTGAGTTAGAGTAAAGAAGCCATAACCAAGTAACTATTGGCTTATAAGGAAATGTACGTGTGTGTACGTACGTTTATGTGCGTTTTGTAATAGGTTTTTCCTGTTTGCGCCCATGTGACTCCTTGGGCGTGCGGCATTCTCTGTAAAAGTGCGCAAATGCCGCAATGCCGCGGTGTGGTAAGAACACTGTAAGTATAACTATTGATAACAACAACACAGGACAACCATGCAGATTTGGCACCAGAGTAACCCCCTCCCCCTACCCCACCCTAACCAAAATAGTTCATTCGGGCACAAAAGCAATCTGGCTGGACTTCATCATTGTTTATTGGGGGAAAGGGTGGGGGGATTATGTTAAATCAATCGTGCTTTAATACTGCTGTTGATATTGCGCAGTAATATTTCATGGTTGCTAAGTAACACTACGGACATGCGCAGTATGTCTTTTCGCTTTACCATGTGCTCTTACCAAATGGCTGACTTTGTACTTCAAGTTTGTTTGTTCATAAATAAATCCCGTTGAAATGTCAAGACATGGTGGCAGCGGTTAAACAAGTAAAACGCTGAAATTAAGCCCTCCAGAGAAATTTGATCCTTCCAAACCGCTCGACTGGCCAGATTGGAAGCAGAATTTCCTGCGATTTCGACTCGCGACGAAAGTTCACAAAGAGGAAGGCGCCGTGCAAGTCAGTGCTCTCATTTACACAATGGGAAGAAAAGCAGAACACGTGTACAAGTCTTTTACCTTAGCTGATAGAGATGATGCACAATTCGACGTGATTTTAGCAAAGTTTGATGAGCATTTCGTGTCGAAAGGAAACATAATTCACGAGAGGGCACATTTTCACCAAAGGATCCAAAAGCAAGGAGAGACAGTCGAACCGTTCGTACGAAGTCTTTACGAATTAACCGAACACTGCGATTTTGGGGACAGTCGTGATCAACAAATACGGGACAAAATTGTCATTGGAATTCTGGAGAAAGCTGTGTCGCAGAAATTGCATTTAAAGTCGGATTTAACGCTGGAAGTCGCGATTCAAATAGCTCGCCAGTCAGAAATGGTCAAGTATCAGCGAGATTACAGATCAGAATTCCCTCGCATCAAAGGGTGTAGAAGAGGTGCACAGTAAGAAGAAGCCGACTAATCCACGTTGGAAAAAGGGAAAAGGAAATAAAGAGGATCCATCCCAAAAGCAAGGTCAGAAGAAGCGTGGTAGATGCGGTCTTCATCACTCAAAGCCTGAACACTGTTTAGCAAAAGATAAACGATGTTTGAAATGTCAAAAGGTGGGCCACGTTGCAGCCGTTTGTTGGTCCATGTCTGTGAGTGAGGTGAATAGCGATAGTGGCAGTGCTTCAAATGATAGCCGTGTTGGTCGTTGGTTCTTAGGTGCGTTGTCAAGTGATTCGGATCAGGATGATAAATAGAAGGTCCAGCTTAAGATCAGGCGTAAACCTGTGGTGTTCAAAATTCATACCGGTGCGGATATTAGTGCCATTTCTTGACAGATCACAAACCTCTGGTACCACTGATCAACCACAGAGATCTTGATAAAACACCACTAAGATTCCAGAGGCTTCTGATGTGCCTTATGCAGGTCAATCCTCGAGCAGAACATGTACCTGGCAAGCACATGGTGGTGACAGATACTCTGTTCGGAGGCCCTTGTAAGTTAGAACAGGAACCCAACATAGTAGAAAACGTTCAGGCATTTGTAGACTTGGTTGAATCTACATGACCAGCCACAGGTGATCAGCTTAAGAGAATCAGAGAAGGCTTTCCAGCTCCTGAAAATGATGGAGTTCACATTAGAAGGGTGGCCAACATATGTGGAAGAAGTCCCCTCCAGATACGAGAGTTCTTTGATTCTTGTGGACACTTGTCAATGAGCAATGGTTTATTAACATATGATGATCGCATAGTGATCCCTGCAGACATGAGAGAGGAGATACGGAGCGTCTTCACACAGGTCACCAGGGTATAAAGTGTATAACGAGTGCCGTGAACGTGATAACCTTTCCCTGCGGTGTCCGGGTATTTCTTAAAGAGATCAAGACAAAGGTGGAGTCATGCCAATTCTGTCAGAAAAACGACCACCACAAAGAAAGGAAACAAAGATGACCACAGACCTACCTGACAGGCCCTGGCAGAAGGTGTCTACCGATTTGTTTGAGCTAGCCAAGGTTCATCGAGATATTAAGCCTAGTTGAGCCTTAAGCCTAACTGAGACAACAAGCCGAGTTGTCATCCAAAAGCTGAAGTCAGTATTTGCAAGATGGGGAATTCCGAAGGAACTAATAAGTGACAATGGTAAACATTTCAAGTCACTACAGTTTGATGAGTTCAAAACAAAATATGGATTCAAGCACACTACATCAAGCCCGCATCATTCCCAGGCAAAAGGTGCTGCAGAAGGTGGCGTGCGAATCGATGAGCGGATTCTGAAACAGGAGGATCCATTCGTTGCTCTTATGGCCTATCGTGCAACCCCAATCCCAGCAACTGGAAAGACACCACCAGAGCTGATCATGGGAAGACTGATACGTACTACCCTCCCAACACTGAGCAAAGTTTTAGAGCCAAAACGTTCAAACCATTACAGCAGTCAAAAGAGCTAATATTAAAGCGAAAAGGGGTTACAAGGAATCCTTTGACAAAGGAAAGGCTCGAGAGAATTACCAAAGCTACAGCAAGGAGACTGGGTTAGAGCCAAACTGGATAATGAGAAGCAGTGGACCACGAAAGCTACGGTCGTTAGTGAAGACCAAAGTCCCAGGTCATACATCATAGGCACTTGTGGTCAAAGGTTTCGAAGGAATCGTAGGCATCTTGGAAAGGTCCCTACACCCACTCATCATGACACATCAGGGGAAGCCTCCCAAATTCCGGATATCAACGGTGAGCCTACTCCCAAGGTTGTCCAGGTGGAGGATACCAACGTTCCTGAAAGCAGCAACACAAGTCCTTACACAAGAGATAAGAACGCGATTCCAGAACAGAGAACCTCAAGTGGTAGACTTGTTAGAAAACCTATTCGTTATAGAAAGGACATTTAGTAGAGTTGATTTTGTTAACTGTGAACGTTGAACACTGAACTTTTGTCTTTACCATGGGACAACTTATGCTAAGGGGCTCTATTTTGTTAGATTTCAGAACATTCTTAAGCATCGTATTCAACCAGTTCATTTTGTAGTACCCGTTTTCTTCAAAAAAGGGGATATGTGTTAATATTGCGCTGTAATATTTCATGGTTGCTAAGTAACACTAGGGACATGCGCAGTGTGTCTTTTCGCTTTACTATGTGCTCTTGCCAAATGGCTGACTTTGTACATCAAGTTTTTGTTAGTTCATAAATAAATCCTGTTGAGATTTCAAGATAATAGTGTTTATTACACACTCAACATGCATTTTTTTTTTGACGTTTTTGTCCAAGATTGTAACACCGTTTGAGAATATCAACCAAGTAAACCTCATGTCATTTTGAATTAGAGGTTTCATAGATGAACTCAAAATAGCTGCAGCTGAAGACGCCTTCTTAACTGATGCCCAGTGTCACCGACAAACGCTCTCACTTATTAATGTCTTGCTGAGTGTCTTCATTCATTCAATTCCCAAGATCTTGAATGTTAGGGACTCACTTGTTAGATTCCTGAAATTTGCTTCCCATGTTATTGTAAGTTTGATCTCTATTGAGCTTGATGTCACATGTCATTCAGAGTCATTACAGAGAGCTTGGGAACAGCCAGAATCGTTTGCTAAGTCTTAGATGGCTGAGGTCATGGGCAGTGAATTTATTTCAAAGAAAGACTCCAGCAAACCATCCAGAAGATGTGATTAGTAAAGATAATAATAATAATGATGGAAACTTTATTTGTGTTTTTGAATGTACAATTGTAAATCTCGCTATGTATAGGCAATTTACAAATGCTGGTTGAGATTGGATTATTAAAAAGAAAACAAAAACAAAACAAAATAAAACCAAAATAAAAAAAAATCAAGTCTGGGCTATCCCAGTTCCTATTTCTACAACAAAAGATGTAATATGTTGCTCTAATGGCTATATTTATCATTTTCTTCATTATATAACGTTGCTGCTTTTTATCAATGCCAATGTCATTCATCATGTCTAAGAACGTGGAGCATTCATCGGAGAAAACGCCAATGGAACTCATGGAGAGATTTACAAATCTCACACATCTGTAATTTCTACTCATTTCGTTGATCAAGTTCAGATATTTTTCTTTCTTACGCACTGCATTGCTGTTAAGGTGAGACTCGAAACCAACTGTTAATTCTAGAACATATAGGCACTTGGACTGGATTAGGAAAAGAAGATCTGGACGATAATTTTCACCAGTCATTATTGAGGGATTCAGAAAACCATTAACATCTGCATAGAGTGAAGAGTGAACATTAATTACAGGTTGAAGTGACTTGGCAATGAAGTTAAGGATTGAGTCGTGTCTCGACTCTCCAGGTAAAGCGATCAAAGTACTGTTGACAACCAGCGACAACATGAAGGAGTGATTCAGGATTAAGGCAAAAGGAGCAATCAGAAATTTGTGATAATCCCCATCTTGCCATAATCTTACGTGTAGGGAGGGAGTTGTTGATGTAGCTGATGTAAAATTGTAAATGTTCTTGGGTAGATGAGACTGGGCCTCTGACCAAATAGCATTTACAGATGACAATGAGTCCTTGATAACATTTATAATAATAATAATAATAATAACAACAACAACAATAATAATAGTAATAATAGAAAAATAAACATACTTACTATCTTCCTCACTGGTGTTAACTTGTACCATGATATTAAGAGGATTTTGCTTGTTCTGCTTACCCCATGAAGAGCTTAGTGCACTTGCAAGTTTTGCACTGTCTACAGTCTCCACCATAAAAAGATTGGGTACACCTAAATATTAAACAAATACTTAGACTACTACTATGTGGAATAAAATTTTTTGCAATTTTAACAACTTTTCAAAAATAAGTTTTCCCCAAAAAATTACCGCAAACAATTTTTCTGCAAACAGTTACTCCAGATTAAATATTTTCTAACTTAAATTCGATCAACAAAACAATCAGCCACCGCAGGTGTTATTGTAATCCAATGGCAAAGAGAAGTAATCTGTTTTACTGGTTTTACATAGGAAATGCACACCATAGTATTGTTTGAAAAGGTGTAATTCAATTCCACCTACTCAATAAAAAACGAAACTATTATCAATAACTTTCGAAAAATTGCAAAAGTTAATTCCCAGCAAGACAACCAGTCTGTCCTAATCACAAAAATTAGTTTCCGCAAAACACAAAAAATCGCCAACCTGCATAAATATACTCCCGCAAAAATTTCACGTTTCACGGTACTTCTGTCAGTTAAGTAAACCAGCTGAAAAGCAAGTTAGCCTTAACATAACAATAATCAGCAATTATTGACTGAGGCTGAGTAGGATATGAAGAATTCGGCAGCTCGACGAGGGTGTTATCCACCGAGGCCGAAGGCTGAAGTGGATAACACCCTCCGAGATCTGCAGAATTCCTCATATCCTACGAAAGCCGAATTCAATAATTGTTCTATTATTCCTTCAAAATAATTCCAAGTTTAAAAACCAGCTAAGACATGCAAACCTTGGTCGATGTAAGTTCATATAGATAATGCATCTTTATCGGGAAGTTTAGGAGATTAAGGCCTGCTAACGTCTGCAGATATACTCCAAATAGCAGATGTTGTCCGTCGAGTTGTCTTGTTGCGATGTTTTTTGACAATATTTCGCCGTGAAACGAGTAAAATGTTTCGTGACAGTTCCACCATTTTGTTCTAACTACCAAAACAACTCAACCTCATCCCCAGGTTTTCTCGGTCAATGGTTCAATAACCTGCAAGCAGGCCGCACTTTTGACGTCATTTTGACGTCCTCGGTTCAATATGACAAAATTTTTTCAAAATTTGGCCAGCAGCAGCTGGTTATGGTAAATAATGCGTTTGGTTTTAACCGATCTGGCCCCGGTTGTTCAAACGTTGGATAGCGCTATCCACCGGATAAATCACTATCCAGCCGATAAGTATTACGGAAATCAATTACGCTATCCGCTGGATAGTGATTTATCCGCTGGATAGCGTTATCCAACGTTTGAACAACCGGGGCCAGAAAGGGGAAATATTTTGAATAATAATAATAAAATTTATAGGAGCTCATAACTCTGAGTGGAACAGGATTCGCTGATCATTGTAATTTAAGAACAAGCAGTGGCTTTGGTAGTAGCGCAAGCGGCTCAAACGGGCCACTTGGTATACACGCTAGGAACTCTGGGACAACGTAAAGCTCGGTTGCTAAGGTCATTGAAAGCATGGTGGACATGTACACCAAGTTATTGACATATTGATCTATTAAATTGGCGACGAGAACGGGATACAATGCAAAACGAAGGGGCACAAGAAGAAAACAATACACATAGAGGTAAAGCGGGAGTCCTGGCAAGTGTTAAGGCGAGCGTGAGCGGCATTAATCTGAAAGGGGAGCTGGGCCAATCCGCGAAAGCGTGGAAGCTGTGGTGAGATCGATTTGAGCGGGCAATGAGATGGATGGCAGTGAGTGACACGGATAAGCTTGATCTGTTCCTGATAGTGGGCGGAGAGGAACTCCAGAAATTAATCGAAAAGTTAAGGAGCAGCCTAGGAATTACGAGTCGCATATTCAAGAGCTAAACAACCATTTTGAGGCAAACCGAAACAATACTTTAGAGTTATACAAGTTCTTCAACATCGACTGGCCCACTGAGGTACCGTTCGCGGACTTTCAAACGAAATGCAGAGAACAAGGGCTACACTGCGAGTTCCCGATACCTATAGAAAACGCTATCGTCATGCTCGCAGTGGTCAAAACGAGAAATGGAGAGCTACGTAACAAATTGATCCGAAAGAATAAAGATCTGAAATCGGTGCGCCAAACCGCAAAGGCGTTTGAAATGGCCAAGCAGGGAAGTGAGATGATGGCAGGTGACGACTCTACAGCCTGAGGAGGTGAACAGCAGAGTGCAAAGGGCAGCAACGAGGTGAACAAGATCACGCGGCCAAGACGGTACAGTATGGGGAATAACAGGCCCGAGAGCTTGCACTGGATGTGGAAAAGAAGCCCACCAAATGGGTCCTGCTTGGGGTAAGAACTGCCCCAGGTGCGGAAAGAGCAATCATTTTGCTAGAGTGTGTCCCAGCAGAAAGCCGAATCGTTTTGGTAGGCAAGTCAGAGCTTTAGAGAGTGAGCCGGACCCAAGCGCGAGACACCCAGAGGAGGAAAGTGAGGTAACCGAAGAGGTCTACCTTTACCGAGTAACCGGGGAAAAGTCATCGAACCCTACTGTGACATTGCAGGTAAATACGATCCCGGTCACGTTACACCTAAACATGCAAGCAGACGTCATGGCATCACGGAGAAACATTTTGAGAGCCTTCACCCTTTAAACCGTAAGAGTGATCAGCGTCAAATTTCTCCTTGTAATATCAATGCTCTATAAAACAGAGTGGTCTTGAGTTTTACGGACATGACCAGGGAAGATGAGTCTAATTGATATTTCAACAAATTCTCCCTACTACGTCTATTGAAAAAGTATAGGGACAGTAAATGAGAATCTCAATTTTGATATTAGGGTTTAAATGGTTAAAGAAACAAGCCGCCTCCAGCCCACAGAAGCGCTCATTAGGAGTTACTCCGGAGATGGACCAGGACTGTTGCTACCTTTACTAGGCTGCTTCACCGCCTCTCTAAGCCGAAATTAAAAGAGCATTGTCGAAGTTGTCTGTGTAGTAAAAGGCCAAGGGAACACTGCACTCCTAAGTTAGGCAGCCGAAAACATGGGCCTCATAGAGTATCACAGCGAGCAGACAACAAAAGCCACTTCCCCAGTAATGGAGGTGGAACGACAAGAGATAAAAAACTTGATCGCAGAGTATGAGGATGTCTTTACTGGTATAGGAAAACTGAAAGGTGTGACTGTAAAGATGCATGTAGTGCCCAAGGACACAGGCGCTATTCTGAAACAAAGAAGAGTATCCATACCCCTGAAAGAGAAGTTTGATCAAATCTTGGACAGGTGGCACACTCTAGACATCATAGCGGATGTAGGAGACGGTCCGAAAGATTGGTGCAGTAACGTGATACTCACTCCTAAGAAGGACGGTGAAAGTGTTAGGGTCAGTCTAGAAACGAAGGACGTTAACAAGTACATCAAGAGGACATGGCACACCATACCCACCCAAAGGGAACTGGAAACCCGGCTGAATGGAGCCAAGTTCTTTTCACACCTGGATATGAACAATGGTTACATGCAGCTAGAGTTAGCAGAAGAGAGCAGAAAGCTGACAACGTTTTACACACATCGCGGACTCAAACGTTTCAAGAGGCTGCACTTTGGAGTGAACAGTGCAGCGGAGATATTCAATGAGGAGGTCCGCAAAGTCGTATCCCTCGAACCTAATGCCATCAGCATCTACAATGACCTCTTGGTCTTTGGTGCCACATAGGAGGAACATGACCAGGGATTGAAACATATCTTGCAACGATGGCGGAGCCACAGACTGACCCTTAACATGAAGAAGGGTCAGTTTAACCTAGGATCGATGACATTTTTTAGCAAAGTATTCTCCAGTGAAGGAATTTCGCCGGACCCTAACAAGGTGGCAGCATTGCAGGGAGCAGGCCCGCCCCAATCTTAAGCAGAGATGCAATCGTTCCTTTTCTTTGCAGGAGCTAACGCAGACCTCATGCAGGGTTTTGCGCAGATCACCGCACCACTAAGAGACCTCATCAAACAGGGGGCACCTATTCAGTGGACACCTGAGTGCCAGAGAGCGTTTGAGCAAACCAAACCGCTGCTGCCAGGGGACACGGTAATGGCATAATTTGATCCACATTGAGAGACCAAACTCAGGACAGATGCGGGACCCCATGGTTTAGCAGTTACACTGAAGCAGTATGAACCCCATGCCAGGCGGTGGAGACCCATAACCTCTCGCTCTAGGACTATGACGGATACCGAGACCAGATACTCGCAGCTTGAGAAGGAAGCAAAAGCTGTTGAATGGGGCATGCTCGCAAACCAGATCTACTTATATGGGCTCAGAGATACGTTTGAGGTAGACACTGACCACAAACCCCTACTGCCTCTGTTTGCTAGAAACAAAGTCACTAGGCCACTTAGAATTGAATGAATGAGAGTTCGCCTGCAGGGGTTTGATTACAAGCTCAATTATGTACCTGGAAAGAAAGCAAAGGCGGACACTAATAAAGCAGATTGAAACTCCAGGCACCTGGGACCACTTACAACGTAGGATTCCAGGGCAGTACACCAGACAGAGTTCACTGTTCGTGAAGAAGAAGAATTGTTTGAGAAGGACATCAGGGCAGTGGTGCAAGCGGCACTGCCAGATGCAGTATCATGGGATGAGCTCCTAGAGGAGACAAGTCAGGAGGCGGAACTCAAAGAGCTTAAGGGTGCGATAGTGAGGGGGTACTTCACTGCACTAGAACGGCAAGCCCTTAGGCCCCAGTTTGACCCAGTCTCTACAGAGCTAGCAGTAGCAGGAGGAGTGGTTGTGCGAGGGTCTTTCAAGTCACTTCACAACAAAGTAGTAAAAGGGATATCTAGGACTAGGGTCTGGTTTCCAGGTTTGGACTGGATGGTGGAAGCCCACATTCAGCACTGCCACCCATGTCAGGTAGTGACGCCAGCAAATGAGCGTGAGCCACTGCGGATGTCACCACTACCGAGTGAACCCTGGAGGGAAGTGGCCATAGACTTCTGGGGACCTATCAACACAGGTGAATACCTTCTCGTTGTCATATGCAACATTCACGGTGGGTTGAAGTAGAGTTTGTAAGTACCACAAGTGCCCGAGCAGTTATACCAAAGCTGGACCACACATTCTTATGGCTGGCAGCGCCAATGGACCTCTATTCAATGGACATGACTTCCTGAACTTCAGCAAGTACCTGGGCTTCAAGCATGAGCACAAGCCACCCAAGAACCCTCAGGCCAATGCTGAAGCAGAGCAGTTTATGTCGGTGCTTAGGAAGCTATACCGTATATGACGACTATATGGGTAGGTCTTCAGGTAAGAAGTGCACCGATCTTAACACTGCTATCGAGTAACGCCACAGGGGACCACCAAGCTAGCCCCAGCACAACTGATGTTCCCGTTGCAAGTTCCGCACAAAGTTGCCGGTAGGAGTTATCCCTCGACAACTGGATTTCGAGGATCTATTTCAGCGCGACCTAGAGAAAATGCAAATGAAGGCGCATGCAGACAGAAAGAAGACCACGAAAACCTCAGATATACAGGTTAGGGATGCAGTGCTGGTGAAACAAGAACTCAGCAGCAAAGCCTCACCGCCCTATGAGGGAGAGCCGCTGAAGGTGCAGCACAGAAAGGGAGCACAAGCTGTGGTCAAAAGGAGAGGTGGCAGCACCGTTACAAGGTAGACGGCACATTTCAAGAAGGTAAACTGCCAGACTCTGAAGGAGGCAGGCAGGTGAAAGCTAGGGCCAGATTCTGGTCACAAGCCCAGGGCAGAGCTTAAGGCAAGGAAGCTACCAAGGCTGCAGGAACGTCCTGAGAAAGAGGTTACCCAAGGTGGGGCTCTCAGATCCTCTGGACAGAATGGAACCACCCACAGAGTGCATAGAGGAGGCACCTCAGCCACCTCTGCCACTGAATGCCAGTAGTTGTAGCTCCAGGCCTCGTCGAAGCGCGAATGAATATCTCAGGAGCAAATATCCGAACCACGTGTTACCGGACAGGATCCAGTGAACAAACAGTCATTGGTCAGTTGGACATGAATTTGCATTGTTAGTTACTTACCTTAGTTTCTGTACCTTATGTGGACCAGTAGCCAGCCATGTTTGTCTGGGCTTTTACTCTATTGTATGGCGGGAATGTAGTATCACAGGCCATTTATACAGGCCACTTAGTATCAGGGTTGTCAGAAAGTTTTGAAGTAGACAGCTGAGTTGTCAAAGTAAGCATCCAGTCCAGGGATATTTTATTTAAAAAACGCCATCCGTAAAGAAATGCCAAGCAGAGTAGCCGGCCAATACTAGTTAACCAAGTAGGTGGCGATTATCTCTGGCAGCCGGCTACTTTTGACAACCCTGAGTATACACGCCAGGAACTCTGGGACAATGTAAGGCTCGCTTTCTTAGGTCATTGAAAGCAAGGCGGACATGTACACCAATTTATTGGCATATTGATCTATTAAAGCTTTCAGGCAATCTTATCAAGCCGAGTCTCAAGCAAACGAGCCTAGAAGGAAACCACAGTTTTCCCTTGGGTAGTCACTGTCTGTTTAATCACTTGATTTACTCACCAGCATAAGGAACTGCTTGTAAAATGTAGTCTACTCACTCATATTATTTGTACCTTACCTACAAGGTTATTACACTTGTTACTCTGAAGGTGACCAATAAAGTGCCATCTTATGTCTGGAAGCTCCTGCACCTAAAAAAAAAGACAAAAACACCATATTTCATTAGGATTAATCTTTTAAAATAACTTCAATAATGAAGTGATCACGAAGGACAAGAAAGCTCAGTATGAGCCTTATACTCCCACTGAAAACTGATGATATTTATATTGTATATAAAATGATGATTACATTATTAACAGAAAGTGGCTACAACTGCTACCATGCACATACAGAGAGAGTCATGTTTAATGACAAAGGCAGGGGCAGAACTAGACTAGGGAACAGACCAATAAGGAAATGAAAGAAGATTACATCGCTGGCTACAAATTACAGAAACATAGTTTCACATCTAGATGGGCATTCAAGACAAGAATAAGGTACAGGTGAAATTTTAAGCCTACCTTTTGGTCATTAGATTTTTCTATTAGTTCTTGAACCTGGAAATATAAAATGCAACTTGTAGGAATAAGACAGTTTCATTATTATATGAATAAGATGTTCATAATTTTATAGCTGGTTAATCACAATTTTCCATAACTATAAGCAGAGTCTTTTTTTAAAAACCTCTCATTGGCCATCTTGCTATGAAACATAAACACTGGAAATATACAACAGGCTTTCTCATTGGTTCTAGAATTGTCCTCCACTTACATAGTTTTCTCCAAAATGTCGTTGACCATGCTGGTAAGCTTCCACAATACACTCTAAAGGCTTTAGTTTGCTGACAGCAACAAGACGAGGAACAGTTTTAGGAAGCTCCTTAAATTTAATCAAAGCAGGTAATGTCAATGTTGCGTGTAATTTTTTTTCCTCACGACAGGTAGATTTGATTTTAAACCTGGTATCATTTTTTTAAAACTAGGTAATTTTTAAATAAAATTTTCACTAGGATATTTTTTAATTTATTATGATGAAATTTATTATAAATGACAATAAATCATCAACATAGTTAATTTCATAAAGCACTGTGAGGAAGATTATTGCAGGTTATATAGTCCAGACAAATCAGTCTCCCCCTCATGCATCGATCCATTAAACTGTTTTCAGGTGTTATTTTATTGTACCATGATTACACTGAGTTTTTGAATAATAGATAACACATTGGTTCTCTAAGCCCAAATGAATGAATAAAATTTTATCCCCAGTTATCATGGCCAGCATAGCTGGCAGGATCAGAGCATGGGAGTGCTTTTCAGTGGTCAGTGCTTGTGGTCTTTGTTAAAAGTTGTGCGCAACAAAACCCAGTTGTATGAGACGGATACGGGTGAATTTTCCACTGACAAGCACTTCACCCAAGGTAATTTGCCTTGCTAAATTCCCCCACTGTGGTGTACTGGGTACTAGCACCCGGGAATTGTAAGTTAAGTGGTGAAGACGGAGTAAAGAAAGCATGTTGACTTTGTGTCCGAATGTGTGATTGACTTAGTGTCCTCTCAGGTGTCCTAAAACACAACATTGGCGATGAGTGCAGGATAAAATGTCAGAGAGAGTCTTGCCCCCGTCTGATCTATCAGGATCATCGTCTCAAGTTGCTCAGAAATCACGAAAATGGAAACAGGCATTCGAGTATTACGCCGAAGGAAAAGGTTTGGATAATACGCAAAAGAAAACTTCCCAGCTTCTACTTTATGCGGGAATGGAAGGGGAATGGAAGTTCAGGATATTTTCGAGGATATTGCAAACCCTGACCCAGCTAATGAAAATCAGGATCCATACACTGTGTGCATTAGGAAATTGGATCACCATTTTTGTGCTGAAGAAAACATACCATTCAAGCAACACATGTTGAGACAAATGGTGCCAAATGAAGGGGAGCAGGTGTATGAATACCTAGTGCATCTTCGCCAACAGCCAAGACACTGTAATTTTGGTGTGGGCGGCATTAGATGAAAATTTGCAAGACCAATATTAATCAAGAAGTTAATCGATATGGAGCTGAAAAAGAAATTGTTGGAAGCAAGAAACATCACTTTTGATGTGGTTCGCGAAAAAGCAAGAGCTTCAGAAGCAGCCAAACAACAAATGCAGTGCATGATAGCCCAAGTGAGTGTTAATGCCATCAGAAAAAGAGAAGAAAGGGCCAGGACCAGTCAGGAAAACATGTTTCAGTTGTCGGAAGAAGGGATATTTCGCTTGGGATTCATGTTGTCCAGTAAAAGGAAGAAAGTGTGCTAAGTGTTCAAAACATGGCCATTTCGCTTCTTGCAAAGGAAATCACTCTCCGTTGGAATGTGGTAGAGACAGCCAACAGAAAAGAGCTAGCAATGGCAAAAAAGGAGCTGGAAGACAAACAAACCAAGAGGGAGGTTACTGCGAGGAGGACGGGCATGTCAGTTGCAAGTAAAGGAATCCAGCATTTGCATTTGCTGTAATGGAGGACACACTCGAGGAGGTGTGCATGGTGTCGATTTTAAGTGAGTCTATGATGAATGTGAGTATCGATGGTTTTGTCCAGGAAATGTTGATTGATTCAGGGTCAGTGAGCAATTTGATGGGGGAAGAGGATTTCTTTAAATTGAAGGGATTAAAAGGGATTTAAAGTGTGCTATGCAAGCAGGAGTCTTGTGTAGAGAGGAGGTATAGTCAAACTGAAAAAGAAGCTTTAGATCTGGTATGAGCATGTGAAAGGTTTGATTTGTATCTGAATGGCTTGCCTGAGTTTGACCTAGTGACTGGCCACCAAGCCTTGAAGACCATATATGGCCCAAGATCAAAGCCATCAGCACGTATTAAACAATGGGTATTGTGATTACAGCCTTATATACACAGGAAAAAACAACGGATTCCCATTTTTGGATATTTTAGGGTATTTAAAGAATACCCACAAAAATCCCAAATTTGGGAGAGTGAGACAAGTCCCAATCAGGGAACTTGGTTGGGACTTGTCTCAGAGTGTGCTTTGTCTCATCAAGGAACAACATTACTGATGCACTTTCCAATCTAACAAAAAATCCAAGCATCACAGGGGTACATTCAAGACAAACAATATGTACGGGAAGTCACTCTACAAGTGGTACCAGTGGCCTTGAGAACTGAGGAAATAAAGGAAGCCTCCAGAGAAGATGAAGACCTAAAGGTTGTTCAAGTATGTTTGCAGAGTGGTGACTAGAGCAAAGTGCCTAAGGATTTTGCAGTGGCATGCAATGAACTAACTTAACTTGGCCAGGTAGGGTTACAAGGAATAAGAATTGTAATCCCAGAAAAACTTCAGAAGAGAGTTCTTGATCTAGCCCATGAGGGGCATCAGGGCATTGTGAACATACAGAGCACTTAAGGTCCAAAGTATGGTGGCCCGGGATCGACCGACACGCCAAGAAGCAACATAGAGAGTGTTTTGACTGTCAGCTAGTTAACAAACATGTCTCACCCCCACCAATTAAGCCCACAAAGTTACCTGACAGAGCATGGCAAGAGATAGCCCTGGACTTGCTAGGACCACTGCCTGGGGGAGGGTATTTGTTGGTAGTGGTAGACTATTTCTCCAGATGGATGAAAGTGGATATTATTTGTAGTACAACGAGTGCCACTATCATCAAGTGCCTAGACAACCATTTTGCTCTATTTGGTGTACCTGATGGTCTAGGGACAGATAATATTGTCCTAATCTTGTGTCTAAGGAGATGGAGAATTACCTAGAGAAAATGGGTGTTGCGCACCACTACACCACACCTTTGTGGCCCAGGGCCAATGGCATGGTTGAGCATGAGGAATGGTCACTCCTAAAGGCGATGAGAGTTTCCCAAGCAGAAGGCAAACATTGGCAGGCTGAGCTCAACAAGTTTTAACTAGCATATCAGTGAACTAACCATTCCACTACTGGAGTCGGCCTAGCAGAGCTGATTTTCAAGAGAAAGCTGACAACTAAGTTACCCAAGCTTAAAGAAGCAGATGAAGAACAGCAGGGGAAGGTGGTTTTTCAACAAGTCAGAGACAGAGATTCGGAAAAGGAACAGCTATCCAAAGATGATGCTGATAGAAGATACCACGCGAAAGAAAGATCTGTGGGCATAAGAGATGCAGCTCTGCTTGAAAAAAGGAAAGAGAACAAGTTGTCTACACCATATGAAAGTGAGCCTTATACAGTTACCTGTCATCATGGTGACCAGGTTGTTTTGCAGTCCCCTCAGGGAGTTGCAGCATGTTAAGCCATTAGCAATTCCAGACAGTGACTACAGTACACGAGACAACCCAGACTGGCCTGATCAACTTTCAAGTCCAGATATCACGTGGATCCCAACCCACAAGAAAAGTCGGAGGCTATGGAAAGTGTGCCCACGGCCACCCCGCGTTGCTCTGGGAGGGTTAGTCAGCCCCTGAGAGCTCTGGAAGATTATGTACTTGAATAAACTTTAAGGGAACTCATTCAGATTATTTATTATAAACAATCATTGACTTTGTTTAAGTTGATAGCTTTGAAGAAGTAAGATGACAGATTCTTCCTTTGTTCTTATGGACAGTGAACATTGTTTCATTTAGCTATGCGAGTGTTTAGTATACGGTTTCCTTATTTCATTGGCTGTTTTTCTTTTGCCAGCCGTTTAAGCTTGTTCCTCAAGAAAAGGAGGGATTGTGGTGTACTGGGTACTGGCATCCAGGAATTGTAAGTTAAGCAGTGAAGATGAAGTAAAGAAAGCATGTTGACTTTGTGTCCGACTGTGTGATTGACTTAGTGTCTTCTGGCGTCCTAAAACACTACACCCACCCATGATAAAAATTTGAAAAAAGCTTCTCAACTGGACAATTTCCGGTAAACAAAGTAATTTATAAAGTTCGCATCATGCTGAGAAGCGCTCCCTACTTGTGATTGGTCACGTATTGACAGTTGATGTTATCGGATTAGTCTGGAAATTGGTCGGCAGAATACAAAAACGCTTGCTCTTATAGCAGGTGCTCCCTTCCCTTTTCCTTTAAATGCTTTCTCCCTCTCCCCTTCCCTTTTTGTGCCTGCCAAGCAGGCTAGCCTGGTTTCCTACCATTGGGAAAATTAAAGACTATGCCATGTGCCATGTGCATAAGGAAACAGTGTAGGTGTTTTCAGGGCTCAAAGTTAAAAACTAACTGGTCGAATATGTGACTGGATTTTTGGTTCTGCGCCTAAAAATTAATGTATAATCACACCTGTGCGCCATAAGACCCAAAGCAGAGTGCGATTGATTTGCTTCTGACCATACTTACGTACTCAAACTAGAAAGATGTTAAACAGTAGCTTCAGCAATGAAAGTGAAAGTAATGTAGAAATAGCACAACCAGGCTGTTTCAATATTTTTTTTCAAGTTTATGTTTTCTTTAGTCATAGCTGTACTGTCAAAAAGAGAAATTAGTATTAAATATCACAACAGTATTATTGTGTAACAAATCGGTTGTGTTTTATCAATCACGGAACTGAAATAAAGGTAACAAACTGAAGATGACATGTAAATGTCGCACTGTTACACTTTTTCCTTTTTCTTTCTTTTTTTTGAAATAGATGCTTCCAACATTTTAAACTGTGCTCCTAAAATCTTCAGCCGTGCGCCTAAACTTTCCGCAGTGCGCCTAAAATTTTACACCTGGTAGCACAAGTGCTCCCAAACTCAAATTTAAACTTTGAATCCACTAATATGAAACAGATACCAATGACAAAATAATATATCTTTCTAGAGAGGGTTTTCAGTCCGTTACGTAATGGACTAGGTCATCGCATGTTATTTGATTTGAGCTTTCAAAGCTCAAATCAAATAACATCAGACTTAAAAGACTGTCAATTACGGGTTGTTGACTATCTCGAAAACTGCAGATTGCCCGTGCAATTCATGTAAACTTTCCGTCCTAACGTAACTAAGCTTACTACTGTAAAAAAGGATGCCACAGTAAATTAGAGAAAACGTAACATAAAACCTTCAGATTAAATTAAACAATGTTTTTTGTCGACGCTCTGACTTACACTTGGCCGTTTAGCCGTTGCATCTTTGACTCGAGAAATAACACTCCGTAGAGCTACTCCTATGCCGTCCATAGATAAAACTGAAAATCGCTTCATATATTTTAACACGAAGACCACTTCGTTTCGTCCGCCATATTTGATGAATTAGAAGAGACAGCAATCGTTAGCAGTCAGCAGTCTTAGTTACCAAGGCGTCTTAGCAACCGAGGAATTATACACCTCCACAAAACAAACCCCTTCTTGAGTTGCAATTCAATTACGACTGCCTTTAGAGATGTAAGACATAGTAAAGCCACAAAACGACTTCAGTGAACACTAGACAAAATGGCAAAAGGGCGAAAATTTGTTCCATCGAAGGAAAAAGAAGGAACCTGGGTAAGTTTATGGCGGAAGACTTAAAATGAACATCGCATCACGCAGACGCCGGCCACGGTTCATCAGATGAATGACTTTTAAGTTAGAAAATATAGCTTGATCGCATTGATAGATAAGAACAAGGTACTTTTTTAACAGGTGGCTATGAGCTCTGGATCAGTGTGAAGAAAGATTTAAGTGGCAATTGTGGGCAAAATATTTCGGCGCATTTATTTTGTGAGACCGGCGAAGAAACCTTTGTGAGACTTCTTCTGTGTGATACCCTAAACATGGTTAATGTTTGCCAACTTCTTACGGTGATAATCAACAGGAGAAGTGACTTTTCTGCGTAGGTTGGAAAAACATATGTTTCTTAAAGCATTATATTTTTTCTTGAATCAGTCCAAGTAACGATTTGCATACTAATTCAAAGCTCAATTACGAAAACAAAATCCTGTTCACCCGTCAAATTATTGAAACAAAAGTCAGCCAAAAGTTTTTGTTTTCTAAAAATGCAGGGAACACAATGTGTACAATAGGGCAGATGTTTTGTCTTAAACTAACAAAAACAGCTTAAACAAACTAAAAGCATATGTTCAAGTCTCCAGTACAAAAAATGGCAAAGAGTTAGGTTTAAATGAACATATTTATTTATTTTCTTCTTTCTTAACTTTGGCCACGGGGGAAAAAAGAGATTCACTCGACACCCAGAATTTAACTAAGAAAAATGCGGGATGACTCCTTTCGTTTACAAAGAATGGATGTCTGGAACTTCAATAACAGAGTACCCTGTTTGGAAAAATCGGCCGTCGGTTTTACTAGATATGGCTAGCTATGAACAAAATTGATGTCTTTAAACCTAAAACGTTGCAAAGGAATTCCTTAAAATGAAATCTGACGAATTTCAAGTAACTGAATCAATGGGTCAGTATACTGCTTATGAGTTACTGACTGGTTCAGCTATAACGACGTTCGCTCATTTTAAAACTAAACCGCTCCTTTGAACTGACATGTTAGATGACGCTATATTTATCGTTGATTCCATATTTAGAGACTCTCCTAGCCAGAAAATAATTAACAATTATTCCTCGAGCCCGAATGGGCTCTGAGTAAATAGCCCATGAGGCTGAACGTCTCATCGGCTATTGACTCAGAGGCCATGAGTAAAATCCAACTAGTTGGTCAAAAATATCGAGACAAAACAACTTTAGTTAGCAAAACGCGATTCAGTTGCCATTGTTTTGGTTTACAAAGCCGGCGCTTTTCGCTACTAATGGTTATAACATATAACCTAGTAGTAGCTCAACCGATCAGAAAGCAGCATTGATAATAGACCACTAGTTGGATTTTACTAAAGAGATATAGCCTGAGAAAACAGCCCACATTTGGCGACGCTAACACTGGTTTTCCCCGCAAGGAAACCAGTGGTAACGTCGCCAAATGTCGGCTGTTTTCTCAGGCTAAAAGAGGTAGGGATTAAACGAGTTAAAACATAAAAGAGTAGGTGGAAAACTATTCTTTAGTGCTTTTAAAGAAAATCCAGAAACGAAAAAATTTGATTTAGGTAAATCTTCAATGATAGGCCAAAGGAATTTAACACTATCGCATTTGAACCCTCTCAGAGAATTTTCGCGCGGCGCGGAAATTGGACCGCACGGCTTCGTGTGAACAGCGTCTTACTCTCTTTACTATTACTCCTTTCAGCACTCTGATCAAATAGGGCTCTAGCTTTCTTGATATAAAGAGGTTGACTAGTTTCTAGGCTCGCTCGGAAGTGAAATGCTCGCTGTTCAATTTTTTCTGCTCACATCTGTTTGCGTCGTCCATACGATCTGAACGCCTGGAACAGGCCAAGGCTCTTGCGGCTACACCCCGTCATTCTCGTGGTGACACGAAACGCTCCAGCCATGGCATGNCGGCGCGGAAATTGGACCGCACGGCTTCGTGTGAACAGCGTCTTACTCTCTTTACTATTACTCCTTTCAGCACTCTGATCAAATAGGGCTCTAGCTTTCTTGATATAAAGAGGTTGACTAGTTTCTAGGCTAAACTATTTTTCGCTCGGAAGTGAAATGCTCGCTGTTCAATTTTTTCTGCTCACATCTGTTTGCGTCGTCCATACGATCTGAACGCCTGGAACAGGCCAAGGCTCTTGTGGCTACACCCCGTCATTCTCGTGGTGACACGAAACGCTCCAGCCATGGCATGGCATTACGTTAAGAGATAGTAAACGTGGCATAAAGCCCATATGCGAAAGTTGCCAATTTTTCTCCGCGGCAAGTGCTTTTTGGTTCACGTGTTCCGAACGAGCCATATCCGCTCGTCTCGGATGGTCTCGGATAGGTAACCGAAATGCATTGACCGACAAGGCCTGTGAAGACGCCGTACTAGGAAAACTCGAACGCACAAGTTTGCAACAGCCTTACCCAGACATACTTTTTATGTAGAGCATGTTATCCTTCTGCAAACTCTAGAAATTTTTGTTAACTTTATTGCATTGCAGTTTTGCACACGTGGCTGGCCTAGGAGGCTTGATGACAAGAAACCGTCAGAAAAACACGTAGCTTCGCCACCTAAGCGATTTGAAGCAAAACACGAGGTATATAAAAACAGTAACTGGTAGAAGAAGGGCGGCACTGACACAATAACCAGCTTAAAAAGTAGAAATGTCCGAATCAGTTTTCCAGTTAAGAGGAAGAATGAAACCTACTCTAAATACGATTCACGTACTTTATTACCAGAAATACGTGAATAGCAGGACTTCGCAGAGCACTAGGGGGCAGCGGCAACAAGTTGGAAGGAAGGGAAACTGAAGGCAGTAGGGAAGAAAATTTATGAATTATAAAAAACGTTTTGCTATATAAAGGAACAAAACAAACCTACAATAACTAAAAAAACTAAACGAAAAGAAAAAAAGTAAAGGAGAGAAAAACAAAAACATGTTTCGCCCGCATCGAACTCACGACTTCCTACGCGCCGGGCCATTTTTGTTTTGTTTTGTTTTTAATTTCTAAAGTGCTCAATTTGAGCTTTATTATATACAAATATGGTAAATTATACTAGAGCTGTGTTCTTTTACATGAGGTTCTATTCGTTCAAAGCGTTAAAAGTGTTCTTTAGAGTAATTCGAGGTATATTATGGTTCGCAAACAGGGGCACCCAACAGAAAATTTTGAGAAAAAGACCTTAAAACAACAACAAAGCATGAATCCATTTTAAGCATTTTGGAAGATTGCTGGAAAAAAATTTATCTGTTCCTCACTCCGAACAAGACTATTGGAAGAGTTCCCAGCCAGCAAGGTGCACCTACAACCTGCGACCTGACTTACTGGGAAGTTTCACAGGCAGACGTATGTCCGGTTTGAGTGTGGTCTTAGGGCAAAATTCAGCCCTCCAGTAGGGGGAAGGGGGGTCGATAGGAAATTGGGTGTCGCCTAAGGGCAAAATTTACCCCTTCATTGGGGGCAGAGGTTTCTATCACATACCCGCTTTTCTAGACTCTAGACATCAAATCCCCTCAAACACCCTGGATTGTCTATTTCCCAGCAACACCTTCCTTCCAAGGACATATTATTTTTTCCAAATTTCCCAGCCAGCAAAAAATTGGCTGAAGAACAGATATTTTGAGAAACAAATCCAATGGGTGCCCCTGCGCAGACTTAGAAGGTTACAAGTACTCCATTAGTGAATTTGGCAAAGGCCTTGCCTATGCACCAGTCGGAAGGGAAAATAGTACATGGTGTGCCGGAGTTTGGCAAGTTTGAATTGATATGTTATGTGCGCCTGAACAGCCGATTTAAAAATAATCATAGGGTCAGTGATATCGTAGGCGATATTCGGAAGCGGATTTGTAAATTGCATAACGAGCTAACGTCATGGCCCAGTTTAGTATTGATACAGTGCAGTTACTTAGCTGATCGTTCTTGGTTCTTATATAGCCAAAGAGCTGTGGATGGGGAGTGACTGGAGCTTGGTTTTGACTGATTTCATTGATCTATGTATCAATAGCGGTCCAGAAAGAACGTAGATTAGGGCAGTCAAGAAGAAGGTGTTCAATTATTTCAATTTTTCCACAATGTGGGCAATTTTTCATGTAATGTCGCAGTGTTTATTGTGTAAGAGAGGGGTTTAGATCCAGAAGTTAGTGTTAAAGGCCGGTTAAGGGCGAGGAGCGGTTGTCAGTGTTGTAGCTCTGAAACAATGGGCGGCGACAGATGTATAGGAGGTCCAGATAAATAGGGCAGGTGTTGTAGCGGTCTAGGTTAAGCCTGCGGTGTATAGTTGGGCGGTTGCTGGAGTGGAGAATTGGAGGTCAGGCGTGTTGTTGACAGGAGCGGTGTGGAGAAGAATAAGATATTTCCACGGCTGAGGTAGAGCTTACAAGATCTGTTGGAATTCATAATTGTGTAGTGCGACCTAGTAGGTGAGGGTCTGTGTCTTCAGAGTTGTATAGCCGCGTGGATTACCGGGGGTGGTAGGATTCTAGGGATAGCCGAATATAGCAGAGGGAGGTCCGCACAATGCACCTTAATGTCACTCTGAATGACGTGAAGGCGGACACGAAACTCGATAGACTTATAGCAAAAGGACGATCAACTTGGCTTGCCATTCTCGTAGGAGTCACGGGCGTTGCAAATTCCGACAAAATTATAAACTCGCTTTCCCGAGGAAACAACACGGCGACAAAACAAAGAAATACTTTAATGGTAAATGTAATGATAAAATAAACCTCTTACTCCACAGGTTCCATTCAAGAGATTCTCGTTTTCAACCCACGACAATAGACACACATTTCAAGACCAAGGGGAGTATTTTGGAAATGTAAGTACAGCTGAGTACTAGGTGAAATACGCAGCGGTACGTTTCGTTAAACTAGCGTCAACCAGTTCTATAGCTTGTTCAGGATGGCTAAATATGTGGGATGAGTTTGATGTTTGCTTCTCTCTCTTGCTCCGAGAAGTTTTTCTCCAGGTACTCCGGTTTTCCCCTCTCCTCAAAAACCAACACTTCCACTCGATCTGTAAAAGAGTTCTTAACATGGCTGCATCACGGTTGTACAGTTCATTTTGTTAATATTACGACGCTTCCTTATGGGCTATGAAACGTAACGTAAACGAAGATCAAAAAATACTTGCAAACGACACAATTACAGCTGCTTGCCCAACAAATATACTTCCCAATTATACCAACGTTACTAACAACAAGAATGAACTTTGAAAAACTGTTAGACTTGAACTGACAAGTTTTTAAAAACCCACAGTTTCAATCCGTTTTAATCATCTTCAAGTTTGTCCATCTGGGCCTACTTTTGTCTTAGCTGTGTTATTTAAACCTTCTTTTATTCATTTTCTTTTGAGCGATTATTTTTCAACTACTGTTATAGAATTTTGTTCAAATTCGTGTCACAGTTTAGTGCTTACGGTACAACTCTAATTTTTTCAAAAATTTTCTCGTCAAAGTAATTGAAAATCTCAGTAAATCTTATTTGGTTGTTTGTTTGGTATGCCTGATGTCTGTACTTTATGAAATTTTTTTCAGGGTCTTGGCCGACGAACGTTTCCTGACCGTTGTCAGCACTACTCTAACAACCTGATCACATGGAATTTACCTAACGACGCCCGATCGTGCTACATGGCCTCATATCAGGGTCCCCAAGGGGCAGATAACAGCCAGTATAGACGATTCCCTAGGGTTCACCCAGACGCTAAGCCTGGATCAGCTCCGTTAGAAACAACAACGACCAAATGGTTTCAGCGACCGGATGTTCCTTACAAGACACCTCTACACGTCCTTGCTATCACGCAAGAGCCCTTCTTGTCTCCAAACAAGTGGGCATATTCGTACCGGCCAATATGGTACTAGACGAACTGATATTTATTGCTTTCTTTGAATATTTATAAGGATTAAAGTTGCGATTTTCAGTAGCTCTGTTTTTATGAAGGAAAAAATATTTCAATTTAGCTACAAATTCTTGGCTTGGATGAGAGGAGTCTCGTGATTTATCTAGATCTTCGATCTTGTTTTAGTCTTTTTTCCAAGTGTGTGTGTAATTTTTACAAAGAAAATGTTTTATATATTTAATAGGATTTGCCACTATCGCCCAATCAAACAAGAAACCAGGTCAGAATTTGAACAAGAAACGTTTGAAGTTATTTATAAGTTTTTAAAGCTGTTTCATTTTTTGTGAATACCACCGTTAAAAATAATAAAAAGAAATGAAATTAAAAAGTCAAAATAATTTTTAGGAAGGTTACTTTTGAGTCCTTCATGAATGAGCGGTGCACTGAGCCCCAGTTTAAGGCCTCTATCCAAAGACATTGATCAAACCACTGCCCCCCTGCCCCACCCACACACCCAGGGTCTATGTCAGAATCGTTTGTTCCTACACTTTCACGACTTCATCTACCTCTCCCTCCTTTTACTTTTTCAATTTTCTTGTTTTATTATATTTCTATTTACATTTTTACAATACCTATTCTGCCTCAAAATTACAATCACAACTTCCTCCTCCCACAGCGTTTCGTAGCCAGAGACTTCATTTTTCTGTTTGCAGTTCTTTCCTATGCAAACCATATAAAGCATTCCAAAATAAGGGACTGCGTCATGGCTGGAAACGGTTCATCTTGTTTTTCATGTTAGTTCGATGTAGAACTTGAGAAATTGCTTGACTTGTGGATGACATAATCAAACAATGTCCCCAAGAATCATATTAAACGTTACAAACAATAAAAATGGCTTTTGAAAAACTGTCAGTCGAACAAGTTCCAAACTCTACCCCAGAGCTCTTCTGCTCATGACGGCCAGTCAGAAGCGTAAGCACTGAGGTCGGGAATGAGTTTTGGTTGGATTGAAGAGCGTGAGGCCCAAATAGCCAGATCTTGGCTACGCCGGCGCAGTGTTTCCCAGAGCTTGCGCGCAGAGTCAACTGTACATTGGTCACAGGCGTAAGTACTGGGGTCGAGAATGAACAAGTTCTCAAAACCCACAATTTCAATCCGTTTCAATCTTCATCAAGTTTTTCCATCTGTGCGTCGTTTTATATCAGCTGTGTTATTTTTGAGGAGATATTTTTATGTTTAAATCAAATTGGTGGCAGGTCTCACTGTTAGAATTTTGATAAATTGCGTGACACCACCTCTTTCAAACATGTTAGTTTTCTTTTCTTTTAAAAGAGCATTTTCCTAGGAATAATTTCCTCTTTTAAATAATAACTTAAGCTAGCTATAACATATACACATGCCTTTTTATACAGAGAAAATGTAAACCACCGGAAATTAGACCATAGGACTTTTAACATGCCCCGGCAGTTTAAGTACAGTCTTCTTCGGAACGGCCGTCACTTATTGTTTTATGTTATTATCATTTTCCCATATAAGTTAAATATATACATAAAATAAAGAAAAACGATGAGGCAAGGAAGACCAAGGAAGCCAATAAGGCTTATCAATAGGACCACCTTTAAAAATACATTACCTAATTAATAAATAAAATACTGGCACGGTCATCGACTTAGGCGTCACTGTCCGCTTGGTTAAAAATAGTTTTAACTCCACTTTCATTGTAGAAGTAACTACTTAAACGTTAAACACAGCACGATTGAGTTTGTTTTAATTTTACTACTCCAGAAGGCTGACTTGTGACGTAATAATCAAAGGAGTTCGTTTCAACTGATCTTTGAATTCTGACCAGCTAAGTGGAAAAAATTCCTCATACCCCCAACCAGATCCCTCGCGGTCAAACACGTCCGCTTCGTTGATTACTCGCGTGGCCTTCGGGAAGTTTGAAGTCAGAGAGTAAGCCAACTTGACAAATCCTTTGCTGTTGTGGCGGAAGTCACGTGTGCTTATCGTTAAGTAAAGGCCTTGGCAACCGGAAGTCCTCAGCTTAAGCTCCAAGAACCTAAAAAGGCAAATTTCATTTTAACATTTAAACCTTAGTTAACTATGATGAAACAAATTCACTAAAAATTCGCACGCTTCGGTGTAGGACACGATAATCTGTAAACGGTTTCTGGACAGCTCAAAACATTTAACATAAAATGCGTCAAGTAAGTACTTTGCTATGTCCTTTCCAACGGGGAGATAGTCGAAGCGATTTCTTATTAGTTTTGATACATTTTGCTGCGAAACATGATAGATCCCTGTTGTAATTTTACAATAACACGCAATATCCACATAAAAGATCACCACACAAAAGCGAGTTTGAAAAAAGATAAAGCATTTCACCTTTGGTGATCATTTTTTGTATTCTCATAACCTTTTTTATTGATGATGTCATGATATTGCTGGGAGAAAATTGATGTTATTGATTCTTAGGACTGGAACGATCGATTGATCGATCTTGAACGAGCGCGATCACCCGACGTAAGGGGCCCCCTCCCATAAAGACCAAAAGTTTCCCAATATAATCTATACAGTTGGAACCTCTCATAAACGACCCCCTCTCGTAATCGACCGCGACCACTTTTTGAGGTTATGGTGTTTAGATTTTTTTACCCTGCGAGCAGAGGTTTCTCTCCTGCATGGCTTTTTAGCGTTTACGAAGTCGTTCACGACCCTCGTCAGTCGCTAAAAGCCATGCAAGAGATAAACCTCTGCTCGGAGGGTATAGAACTTTCCACTGTTTTCAATCTCTCAGGCAACCGCTTGAAGAATGGTCTGATCTGTTAGTCCGTTTTATGCACAACGCTACTCAGAGTATGCAAAGAACTTTTAGTGACAACACGAAACCACACACATCGTAGAATTGCATGCAATACACTCCCTTCCAAAAATAGATGTGTTCGGACCATTTCTTGGAAGAGACCTTGTTGTTCGATTCTCGTAAGCGGCCTCTTAAATCTTCGCATTATTTTAGGAGATGGCAGGTTCGACTGCAATTATCATTTATTATTCGTTTCTTACATTTCGTATCCGCTGACCCAGAAATGGGGAGATTTGATGATCTTCTTTTTCTTTTCCACTTCAATGTCTTCTCCGATGTCCACTGTCCAGTTAAACACAACGGGCTCGTCATAAGCTTTCCTCGCAATCGGTTCCCCCTCTTCACATTGTCTTTCCTGTTAATTTTCAGTGACAAGGAAGTAGCCAGTTAATACGGAAAAACAAGCAAACATTCATGAATGCTGACATCTCCTAAATGTTGGTGACTAACAATACAAAGCGATTCTTTAAGACAGTTGTTGTTGGGTCAATCTGGCCTATCCGGAATGAGAGCAAGTGAAGAATTTATCACATTCGACGGTCTTTTTTGGGTGGTAACAACTGAGAGAAATCTGCAACCGAACGGGAATAAGAGCAACCAGAAAATCTTCAAAGGTAAGCATCCCTGTCAGAGAAGCTAATTACTTTGCTTACATATTTTGTCCTTAAGCGCCAGCAACTACAAACATGTTATCAAAGATTATTCACGGCTTTCGGGAGTGTGTTACCAAAGTTGATTAGAGGAGAAGCAACCTTGTAAATTTTAAAAGTTTTGAAAATGATACAATAAAACTATCAGTTAAAAAGGCAAAATTGAACGGTTTGTTAGTTAAGAACTGTGCTACTGATTCAACAGGTTTTGATTAAAATTTCCCTTCGGGCCCGAAAAGTTTCCGGGCTTTTCGAGAAACAGGCCCCAGATCCTTTAGTGACATCTTGCTCGAAGACCTTTTTTTTTTCGCCAGACTGCAAAACAGTCTGTTTTTTTAAATCTCAAAATCGGGTTTCCAAGGCGCAAAGCACCGGCGACGCAAAATTGCGCATTCCTGACCTACGCACAAATACGGGCTCTTTTGCAGTCTATTTTTTTTCTCGAACGTCGGCACGGAAACTCATTTGATGAGCAACTTAACCTTTCCGAATAATGATATATGGATTCTTCAGTTACCTTAGAAAACGCATGGTAGAACACAGCTTCTTCGAACAACAGAGGAAACCTTGCAACTGTAGATGCGATAGGATGATCGCTGGTCACTACATCGTGCAAGTAGTTGATTGTCATGGATTTAAACCGAACCAGTTCCAGCAGTGGCTCAAGTTGTTCATCAAAGACTTCATTCACTTCTGCCCACTTCATCAATGCAAGAAACACGGTGTTTTCCGACGACACGCAGAGATCATTACTGGATAGAACTGCATGAGATAACACACGATATTGTTAGGGGAAAACTGCGTCTAAAAAATACCATTGCAGGGGTTTCAGTAACAGGCGACGGACAAAGAGAAAGCAGGCAAGAAGGACCTCCTGATCGAAGGTTAGGGTTTCAAGCAATGGATTGGACTATGTTACCCTACGAGTAAAGGCCCTCCGATCTTCCTAGATAAGTCGACTTGTCTGGCAAGATCGAAGGGCCTCTGATCGCAGAATTTGATCGCTCGGTTAATGAGCTCCTGTCGCGGATAATTCCTTAAAAGAACAAACCTTTTTGCAGGCCATTTGCGCTCAAGGAAAGAAAGTCTTCATTTGACCACTGAGAATCTAACGGACTGAATTCTTCAACAAGAAATTCTTCACAGCGGCGTATAAACTCTGCCATCTCGGGAAGTCTGAAAAGGAGAAATATTAACATAATTTTCAAATACTGTGTGCACTGGTATGCCGTTAAGTTCTTAAAGAAGCAATATAATTTAACAATTCCTAGGATTTTCGAAATAGTGCCGCATGCTTAGTAGGAGGCCACGAGATGCCAGAACTGACGCTGACAGCGTGAAAGGAACCCCTCCTTTGCGTCTAGGTGCCTAAACTTGAAAGTAAGGGTATGTATAATTGTGTCAATAACAAAATGCTTGAATTTGATTGGTTCTTAACAGCCCATATCAGGGATTTCTTTTGGTTTTATTTTTCTTCTATTTTCCTATGAAAGTAGCCGGGGGCCATGTTCATTGTAGCCGGGGGAAATGATAATAAAAACGTCCCTCACTGAAATAGAAAATAACGAACTTCACTTGTGTAGTGGTGTATCAATAATGTTACAAAATAATACTTAATCTTTCAATGGAATCTAAAAAAATTTGCATGCCCCATTCCTGCCATCAGAATTTTAACCATCTCCCCTTTTCCCGTCAAAAATTTTTAAGACCCCCACAAAAATCCTCTGCTTCCTCTCCCCCCGCCCCCTCCTATGGTATAGAGAATGAATGCAGCCTTAAAAGGGTAACTGCTTGTGGTTGTCTTTCACGATAAACAAAGATAAGGAAAAAGTTTGCAACTTGAAAACGTTTGGCTAACTTTTTCAAGTGGTGTCATCATGTCATGGACAAAGTGCCAAAAGAAGAGGGGGCGGCTCTAGTAACTTGTAGTCAAACCTGAAGATCCTTCATTAATTTAACAGTGTACATGTAGGGTATAAAAATGGTGATACTCAACAATAACAACAGACTATATGGCCTGCACTCAGATGTCTCCCTCACTTCACGTGAAAAGCAGGCGGTGAAAAGCGGAGGACACAAGTGATGCTTGCATGCCAGTGAGATGCATTAGTCATAGCCTGCATAGCAGGCGCTTGGAAGTAGTGGCCAAAAGAGAGAACGGGCACGTGCAAGGGAGACACGCAATACGTGTGTGTCTCCTTCTCGCGCTCCTGCTACGCAGGCTACATTAGTCATTTTAAATATCAATTCAAAATTTACCTCTCATGTTCTTGCATGTTCAGTGATTTGTCACAAATCTCAACTGTAAGTTCAGCAGACCCAAGCAATCTGAAATTCAAAAGTGTTTAAATTTCAATTATTAAACCATTCACATTGCTACTTGCAGATAAATACATGTTATCACTCAATTACAGGAACTCTCCCTGGGACAAGGTCAAAGTACATTTAAAGGTGAGGTCTGTTTATAAGCTCCAAATTGCATGTAACAATTTATGATTCATATGTATATGATAAAGCAAGATACTGTAGTAAGCAGGTCTGAAAAGAAAATACTGGTTGATGAATAGCTAGCCTAGAGATGGGGAGAGAAATAGGAGGGAAAAGCAAAAAAAAAGAAAGCAGGAAAGAAATGAATGATGAGGAAAGAACATCAAAGGACACTGGATATGAGAAGAAGGGAGGGGAAGAAAAGGGATGTTAAAAAGGTAAAGGGTTAAGGAAGGTGAAAAAGGAGTGTAGTAGGGGAGAGGGGAAAGAGGATGAAAAGAAAATAGGAGGGGAGGGGAGAAAAGTACAAGGGAAGGGAAGGATAGAGGAGAAAGAGGAGTATAGGGAGGAGATATGTTACAGGTCAAATTTAAATTCAGGTTAAACTTTTTTAACCTAGGTTGATTTTCAATTTTTTTTTTTTGTCTCTTAGCCCTAATTCTCAAATAATTAGGGCTAGGGGACAAAGGAAATTGGGAATCAACCTAGGTTAAAAAAACTTAACCTGAATTTAATTTTGAGCTGTAACAGATACGGTTGGGGACACAAGGGAGAAGGGTAGAAAGGGCATCTGGTTAAGCACATGTAGGTGTTAGAGGAAAGAAGTGGTACATAAAAGAATGTGTAGTTGTGTTAAACAATGATCTCCATGGGTACAACTTACTTTTGACATGTCTTAAGAGTACTTTCTGCATCATAAACATGTGCAAGCCTCATAAGGATGAGAAGATTCTCCACACTTTCTGTCATCACAACCTCAGGTTTATATAATGACTCAATTAACAACAGGAACATTGCTGACAATGACTCACTTATGTTCATTTCAACCTGGTGAGACAAATGACAAAATGGATGAATTAAACCCATTGCCAAAATGCTTTAAGTTATTACTTTAGTGGTCAACGTGGATAAAAATAAAGTTCAGGCAAAGTTTGAACTGAATTTGAACACACTGCTGTTCACTTCCTGGGACATATCCAAGCAACTACAAAAACATTATGAAGAGTAAAAAACAAAAGAGAGCTTGTGGGGATACTGCAAAACCTGCAGCCAATAAAAAATATTCCAGTAGTCCAAAATGAATATGATATAAGTACTTAAAAATTAGCGTATTTTTAGTATTGGGGTGTCCTAGGAGGCAGGGGATAGATGCTGCCAAACAGGGAATGGCTTTTAGGGTCTTAAGTCTTACACAGGGAGTACTTTTTCATCGAATACATTTTCATTATTTATCATCCTGAACAGGGTATCATTCTGGCCAGGATGCCTCAAAGAGAGTGTGAACCTTGCTGGTGAGTGGTCTACAAGTGTGGTGTAATCCGTGCAACTGGTTATTGACAGATTCAAAAGGAACACTTTACAGGTGTCGTGGAAATCCATCAATTTTGTTAATATTATTATTAACTAATTATTGATCTGTAGACAAAGAGTTAAAGAAACAGTAGAGATGTTGTTAAACAGTGCATTTTATTTGGAGTACTAAAAGGTCTCTTCACTTCAACAGGTTAGCAGCTTTCATCTTAAACAAGGGACCTCCAGGTTTGAAAGCCTTGGTAACACACCCCCACTGGTTAGTGCCTCCCTTCCCAACTGGGTATCACAATCAATGTTAGCATGAATGCAGAAGTCTCCCGTTACTTTTTTGCACGCAGAAAAGGAATTTTCTGTATTGAGTTCCCAAGATCTTGGGAAAGGGCTGTGATTGGCTGCCTCACAGTGGGAATTGTTCAATTAGACTCTGATTGGTTGTGTGGTACAGCATTGCCTGAGGAGACTCGAAATAATGATGATGATGATGATGATGATGATGATGATGATGATGATGATGGTGATGATGATGATGGTGATGATGAAAATGATGCCCTAAAATGTACAGTGCTTGACATGGGTACACTGTAACCTCCAATCCTGGGAATCTTGCTTCCTACCTTTTTTACTTTGGTTTCTTTCATTCCAGAGCTGAAAAACAGGCTCCTGAAATAAGAGCTATTCAATGCCAACCAGAAACTGTGGACACAAAGCTGATGTTCACGGATAACAGTATCAGCTAATACCAAGTCCTCTTCCCTTGCCTTTAAAACACCATTATCTGGGGCTGTTTTGTTAACCTCGTTCTCCCCGGAAGTCAAGCTTGAGTTAGTTGCACCAGTAAGGCCAATAGCACCAGCTTTATTTGCGTAGCCTATGTCTGTTAGTAACAACTTGGTGTAAGCGATATCCAAGTCTAGTTCAGGTGAGGACACGGTGCTACTGGTCGATGCATCGTTCGAATCACTAGTTTTCTCCACATCCAAATTATCCCTCGCAACAGATTCTCTGTTTTCAACCACAGTGAGTGAATCCTCGCGCTTTTTACTTTTCACAGTTCGTTTTGCTTCGGAAGGCAAAGTTTCACAGCTAATTCCTGAGTCGCAGCTTAAACTACTCACGGTTCTAGAACTAGAACTATCCACGTTTCCAAACGCGTTGCCCTCCTCTACGGAAGAACTCGGCACATCGCTGCCTTTATCAGAAGTTACCGATTGCTTTTCCTCTAGTCTTACATTTGTGTTTCCTCCAGACGTGTTTTTTGTTGGTACACTTGAATCCTCGTTGTTGTCCGAACTGGTTTTTGTCATGTTTTTTACCCGGCGTGCGGCTTCCAATTTTTCCCAACCATCTGTTCTAATCTTCACCACTAAAATTCGGTCAGACATCTCCGGATTGTTAAAATGGTCTCCAATCTTCTCGAATAGTTTCTCCATGATAACGAATATCGTTTTTCTGGCATTCAAAGCTTAGAACTTGAAAATTTCTGCATCGAGACGCCAAACAAAAATTCGAAAACAAATAATCAACAAAAGAATACAACCGCTGAGTAGCAACTTTTCTAAAAGAGTCTGCGTTTGCTCAGCGGCAACGCAGGAAGATCATGCGCAGAAACACACTGAGTCATGATTTTGAAGAATCCAAAACTTCATAGGAAGATCTATTGAATTTTCGTTAAAAATGGTCCTTGAATCGACGGTTGTTTGGTAAAACTCTTTGACGTTTTTCCACCTTTTTGTAGCTTCGTAAAATATTGTAACGTCTTGTCACGTTTTTGTCTAATGATCTCCTTTCTTTTACAGTGTTGATAATAGTGAGTGGATGAGAAATGGCGATTTCCTTCCCACGAGATTACAAGCACAGCAAGATGCAGTCAGTATGGTTTGTCGTTCAAAAACTCGACAAAACCCAGAGAATAATGTCGGTCTGATAACCTTAGCTAGGTAAGTGAATGGGCGCTTAAGAGGCTGTCCGCGTAAGACCGCGAAGGCAAATTTACGGATTGCCCAGATTTTTTCAGTGGAAGATAACTATCCCATCCCATGAACAAATATCACATTTAGTGGAACCAATTCATTTTTTTTCTCTATATTACAGGAATATTTTCTAGGTCACCTAGAACTAGCCAGTTTGCCGTCGGAAGTGGTGCGATTTTGCCGAAACTTTACGGCTCTCTCAAACCTGCCTTACAAAGCCGAATAAGCAAAATATTCTACACACAAAAGTTCTAACTCTGATTAATAGTTTCGAGGTCTAATGGTTGCATTCTGTGGAAAGTTGGCTGAGATATGAATTTTTTAAAATGACCTTTAAGTTGCTCGGCAGGAAAAGTAATTTGCAGAACCAGAGCTGAAATTGTGCAAAAGTGGCACCTGACCCAGACTTATCCATGCCCAGACTCAAGTCTATGCTAAATCAGAAGTTCTAAGACCAGTGTACTTCTTAATGCAATAAAATTTGTGGACACTCTTCTTTGCGTACTGTACAAAGTTCAGCTAAATTTCCAAAATTTTGCATACTCACCGCAAAGCTGTAATAATTGTAACGGTCCACATCTGATCTACTAATTTCCATACCTATAACATTTCTAGTCATCACCAAATGTCATTAGACCCTCTAAAAGTTGGAATTTTGAAAACATATGGAGAAAAATTGGTAGTTGCTTTTTTGTTTTTTTTTCCTTGTCGACGATGGATGTGACTTATTTCTCCATATTTAAATAACCTTAGGTGCGTCATTTCAACAAATTGACAGGAAATATAATCCTTGCATCTCACATTTTTAAGGGAAAAATAACCCTTCTTTTACAGAAAAACACGAACTATGACTTAGAATTCCCTTAAGGTCTGTTTCTTTAGAGGAAGAAGCAGCTGAAGAAGTTATGTTTACATGGCTAAAAATAGTTTAGTTACTGTGGCCTGTCACGCATTCCTCAAGAGTGGCCGTGTATCGATCCGTTCTATTATCTTATTATCTTTTTTTAAGTGATGGTTATTGATAATCATACAATTTTATCACAGTAAATTCCAATTCTTTGCTGGGTGGGTAATACTGTGCTGTTGTATTTATTCATTCCACAACTGCTTTAACTGAGTCTGTCTCCAATACTGCTACTAGGACAAGGTTATGACAGCCCATGGTATAATACACGACAAATAGCTTCAAATAGTCGCTTGATTTCTGCAACAAGCTTTTGCCTTTTGAACTCCCCGTCTTCTTCCAGCAGGTCTCTGGTCAAGTTCAATTTCTGCAGAACCTTGTTGTCTTCTCTTTGTTGCAGCGAGAAAGGAAAAGAAACCTTGCACCTAACTTTTGGTCAACCATTCTTCTCTAGTAAACAGCTGATTGTTTTGCGCACCTTTGGCTTTGCGCATATCATTAGAAACCTGCAGAGGCTCTGCTTTACGTCTCGTCTGTTCACCAAGGTCAAACTTCGCTGTTAAATATTTCTTCACTTTATCAGTAAACTTGGAAGGTCCAACTCTGGGCTTAGCCAGTGCTCAACCCATACAAACAGGTGGGTCTGATGGCCGCGGGTCATGCTGATCACTTGTACTTTAGATGTGCTTGGCATATCTTCAGTTATATTAACAGCTGTGGTGAACCTTTCTACCTGGTCATGCCAGAGTCTTTCATGAAGTGTTTCAGAATCCTTCCTTTCTTGTTTTATAATGTGATCCACAACATTGAGATGTGACTCCATCTCTGAAAAGTTTGGGAATCCTTTGACCTATCCGAGTTCCGAGCACTCAAACAAATATAGTTGGTGATCCCTATCGTCATCTGAACTTTCTAACAGGGGCTATTGACATTTGTAAACCGATGCATCTTTGCAATCAAAAAACCCGCTAATGACAGGGAGCGTGGTGCTTTCTTGAGATTGTGAAACCAACTGGTCAAAAGGAAACTCTTTGCGAGGTCCTTTTCCTTATGATCCTCAGACACGTATGCCTTTTTCCTCGAACTGGAAATTGTGTAGCCTGTTAAAGCCTTCCATCTTCTTCACCTCTAATGTCTTCTTGGTCTCATCGACAGTGCAGACGCGGGCGTTTGTTCCTATCACTGATCTTTCTGACTACAGTGCTCTCTTTAATGTCAGCTGCTGTAAGAATATCATGTCCTTCATCGCAGAATCTTCTAATGCACGATTTCATTGGGCATAAAATTCTGTCACGTATATTGTTGCCATAGTGTGGCTCTGAATAATCATAGTGGCAAACCTCTATACCCATCCTCTGACCAAAATCCTTTACTGCAGTGATAAGGAAGTTGTTATGATAGCAGCCGCCTTCATCTGACCACAGATGGATCTTAGAAACATGTGGCTTCTGCCTCTTGATTTCTTGTAGAGTGTGCTCAGCAACTGAACAGACCGCAAACCAGTCCTGCTGGCAAGCATCAAAGAGGTGAGCATAAGACTGTAATTCTAGGCTACCTGCCTTTTCTGGATCACTGCAAATGACCGTGGAGATGTGCAAGCTCAGGCCGCTCTTTCCATACCAATCTGACTGCTTCTCATGATATCTGAGCTGCTTAAACTTCATCGCCCAGTCCATTACAAGAAGTGCCAATTCTGGGTTGAACGCTATCATCTTCAACTAATCTTGCTTTGCTGCTTCTTGATTCACTGATCTGACGATGTGAACTTTCCAATGAAACATATTTGTGCAGACCTGCTTGAAGTTGTAGAGAACTGTCAGTCCTCACTGTAAGGGTGCCAGGAAGAGCCTCTAATTTGAACTTCTACTTCATCATGAACATTTTTCATATTTTTCACAGTAACCCTAAGTTTCTGAGTGCTGATGAGGACAGATTTCATGAAAATGGGGATCTTGTTAGTCACTGAGGGCGAATTTGTGGCAGTGGTTGGGACACTTGGCTTCCTCTGGCTTGCAATGAACATGATAACAAGTCTTGAAGTAGCGTTTAGCATCCTAAAGCTTTCTTTTGGCTTACATGCACCATTTTTTTTCTCCAATCCTACTTTCTTTAGGCTATCAGTGATTATTTCAACCTTGTGGAAAGCTGCTGATCCTTCAGCAGTGGTATTGTCGAGACCTTGGAGTGACTTTCTCTGAGAGGCTTCCCATACATCTAGAATCTTGAATAACGTAGTGCGGCTGAAGGGCTCACACTTTTTAACTTGGCGCAACTGCACATATTGATTGTTCATCGTCAAGAGTGTAACTGTAGGCATGACATTAGGCATTTCCATAGTTTCACCACTGTCCAACTTCAAAACTTTGGTTCCGTATGAAACATCTTGGTAGAAATATGGGCGATTAATGAATTCGATGAAATGGTTCAATTTGCCCATGTCAATGCGCACATGATGGTACTTTTTTTCACGTGAACAGTACCTGGGCCTAGCACTCTTGCATGGTATCTTGCTTGATTTATTTGTTGTGTCGATAATTTTTCATACAGGTAATGTAGTTTTTCAGTTAATCATTATTTTATTATTATCAATAACAATCATTTAAAAAAGATAATAATGTTATAGAATTGATCAATACACCAACGCTATTGTTTTTAAATCAACCACCAGTCTTCAGGAATGTGTGACAGGCCACAGTAATTACCATGTAGACATATATTCTTCAGCTGCTTCTTCCTCTAAAGAAACAGATCTTAAGGGAATTCTAAGCCATGGTTCATGTTTTTCCTTGGAAAGGAGGATTATTTTTCCCTTGAAAATGTGAAATCCAAGGATTTATATTTCCTGTCAATTTGTTGAAACGATGCACCTAAGGTTAATTTGCATACAGAGAATTAAGTCACGTTCATCGTCAACAAGGAAAAAAACAAAAAAACGGCTACCAAGTTTTCCTCATATGTTTTCAAAATTCCAACATTTAGAGGGTCTAATGACATTTGGTGATGACTGGAAACGTTATAGGTATGGAAATCAGTAGATCAGATGTGGACTGTTACAATTACAGCTTTGCGGTGAATATGGCGAATTTTGGAACATTAACGAAAATTTGTACAGCACCCAAAGAAGAGTATCCCCAAATTTTATTGCATTAAGAAGTAGACTGGTCATAGTACTTCTAATTTAGCATAGACTTGAGTCTGGGTTAGGTGCCACTTTTGCACAATCACTTCTTCAGCTCTAGTTATTCAAATTACTTTTCCTGTCAAGCAAATTAAAGGTCATTTTAAAAAATTCATGTCTCAGCCAACATTCCACAGAATGCATCCATTGAACCTTGAAACTATTAATCAGAGTTGAAACTTTTGTGTGTAAAATACTTAGCTTATTCAGCTTCATAAGGCAGGTTTGACAGAGCCGTATTAAAGGTTCAGCAAAATTGCACCACTTCTGACTGCAAACTGGCTAGTTATAGGTGACCTAGAAAATATTCCTGTAATATAGAGAAAAAATTAAATTGGTCCAAATAAATGTGATATTTCTTCATGGGATAGGATATTTTTTTCCGTGATGACCCGAAATTTGCCTTATTGGTTCTTACGCAGACAGCCTCTTAATTCAGATTATACTAATTCCAAGACTGAATCCAAAAAGAGGAAGCAAAGAGGCAAAATAGCTAACCACTGACTGTTCTGATATGATTGATATATGCGAATTTCATATATTTGAACTGTGGGATAAAGAAATAGATGCAACTCAGAAGATCATCCCAGTTAAATATGCAACTTCTACATTTGTGAAAAGAAAGCCTGAAACATTCAGGCTTGCCAGGATTTGAACCCTGACTTCTGTGATACCAGTGCAAGGTTCTAACCAAATGAGCTACCAAGCCAACTGGGAGCTGGTCATTATATTTGTAAATTGGTTTTTAATATACCCAAGGAAGATAAAATAATGACTATGTGAAATTTATGTATTTGAATTGCAAAATGAAGAAATAAATGCAGAAAAGATCATCACAGTTGCGGAAAAAAAGCCTAAAAAATGCAGGCTATTGTTACATCGACTGTTCTGGTGTAAGTGTCTGGTTGGCTTATTGTCAGAATACACTTTGAAGCAACCCCTCAAAATAGCTGGATATTTGGACTTTTTGTTGGTAAAATCCACCTCCCAGGTTAAACCAGTGTTCAACCAAGAATAATTATTGTTGTTGTTGTTGTTGGAACTCTAGTAAAGAGCTAAACCTTAAAGAATGAAAGCTAGTTTAAACTGAGAACAGTTTGACCTGCAATATATCTGTTACTGGTCAAAATTATATTCAGGTTAAAATTTTTTTATCTTGGTTGTTTCTCAATTTTCTTTGTCTCCTGGTCCTAATTCATGAATAATTAGGGCTAGGAGACCAAAAAAATTGAGAATCAACCTAGGCTAAATAATTTTAATCTGAATTTTAATTTTGACCTGTATGCTATGCTGTCTTCAACATTATTTGACGATCGAATAGAATCCGTACAGCAACTATCTAGTACTCTTTAAAACACTGGGATTTTCCATATCCCACCATGCTCTTGGGTCTCAGCTCCAGACTTCCATGTCCTATACTCTCCCCTGCCGACGAAAATGGCATCCTGACATTATTTTACATAGATCATACAATTAGCGCTAACTGGCAGTGACAACAGTGAAGGAAACAAAATGGAGGGCCTGGGCTCAACTTTGGATGTGTAAAAAAACTAACAAACTAACTAACAAACCAAAAAAAACTCGGGTCTGTGAACTTGTGGGACTCAAAAAAACTAATTTACATGAGAAAGTTGCAACCAAAGTTCAACCCTAAGAAGAAGAGTAACCCCAGGATCGGGGATCTGTGCTACTTTGGCCATTATAAGTCCTCTTTCGTTTCCCCTGATGCTGAAGCTGGGCTTTCTGGAGTGGCATTCACTGTTTCCGTTGGGTCACGTAGTGGTTCTGCTTCGGGGCACTGCAATGTACCATTGCTGTCCGTGTCCAACTGAGCATCTGGTGATGCTGGGCCTTCTGGGCTGCTCGTAGCTGGTTCTGCTGCTATATCTTGTGGGACAACTGTAGGAGGCTGTGAGTTATCACCCGCTGTCTTTGTCACACTGAGCAGTAGAGTACGTATCTGCCCCTTTGTCAATGTCTTCTTGGTCCCTGTGTAGTCATTGGCCAATAGATGGGGCATGTGGTGTACTCACAGTATACCCCTCACCTGAACTTTCCTGGTCCTCTCTGACATGAATTGGTGGCACAGTGCTAGTGGGCTGACAAGTTTTGTCCCCTACTTTCTTGAGGGAAGGTGGGGTTTCAAGTGGCAATGCTTCACAAGGAAGGAGCAAATTACGGTGTAGTACTCTCTGTTTGCCCGTCCACCTTCTGGCCTCACCCGATAGACGGGACTGTCTGCTATTCATTTCTCAATGATGTGTATCTGTTCTTCCCAATGTTAACGAAGCTTCCCTGGTCCTCCACTTTCCGGCAAATTTCGGACAAGAACACAATCACCAGGACATGAAATTAACAAGAGACGTTCCCTTGCCTTCTGAAAGGCATGGGAATGCAGTTTGTACAAGGCAGGTCATGCCATGTTTGGTACCGATGCTGCTCCCTTGTTTTACTACCTCTTCGATGACATTAAATCCAATAATGAGATATTCTTGGTTATCTTGCCTTCCCACTAGAATGGACACTGTTATTGGCTCTGACTGTCCATATTCCCCAACCAACTGAAATTCTACCTCAATCCGGCCATCATATAAAAGTTTACTACCATTTGCAACCTTCAGGTCCAGTTCATGTTCCCCCAATAACTCACTTTTATCTCTCTCTGGCACATCAGGTAGATAGGTGTCCTTCCGTGACTTTGATATAATGCAAACTTGAGCACCTGTGTCCCAAAGGGCATCAACCTTCTTCCCTTGTAGTAAACAGCTTACAATGCACCTTCTCCTTACCAACTTTAAGTCAACTTTGAATGCTGGGGTGAAGTTAAGTGGGCAGGAAATGACATTATCAACTCTTCTTCCCCTTTTGCGGACGACTGGTTCGTTGTTTCCACCTCTCTTAAAGCTTCACAAAGTATCTTATACTCCCCCCAATGTTCTTGTTGGCACAATTTTGAATAGTACCAGCTAGCATGGCATTGTGAACAACAAACGTGTCGACTGGTAACACTTTCTATTCTCCCACACTTCACAAGTGTTCGGGACTGTTTCTGCATATTCAGGGTTACTTCCTGTTCCAAGGGTGCAATCCCAGTCTGTTTTCCTGGAAATATGCCCAGTTTTGGCTCGTGATCTCCGGCAATTGTAGCTGAAATGACCACTCCTCCACCAAATAAAGCAATGGGTGCATCGCTCCCCAAAGCCTTCTCTTAGACAATCTGCACACCTTCTAGGTCGTGCCCTCTGTTCATTTCTGAACCCGTTTTGATCTTGGGTGGTGGTACGATGTTGGCTTCCTATGGATTCCCTAATGGCAGCAAGCTCTGCTTTCATTTCCTGTACTTCTGTAAGAAGGTTAGGTTTTGCTTGCTTCTGTGGATGCACCACCCCCACTCCCCAAGCATTGCCCCATGCATTTAAGGTACCACTGAGTTCTGCTAAACTCTGCAGACAGGCTTATTTCCACAAATATGTAAAATGGGTCAGTGAAACAGTTCCAAAATCTATGTCCTGGGCCACCACTTTTGTACCAAGTTTTGAGTATGTGCCATGATTGGCCTGTTAAATCAGCCAAGGTCAATTTGCCAATCAGGTTGAAGGGAAATTTGAAAACCCCCCCCCCCACCCCCAGTTGGTGTCTCCTTGGTAGGGGTTACTTTAGCTACAAGTGGTACAGGGTTTGTGCTTGTGGCAGGCCCACGAAGTGAACCAAGTTTTTGCTGACAGCTCCATTTAGTTTTTCAAACAGTTCCTCAACTGTAACATGAGTGTTTTGGAGGTATGGCTTCAACTCCAAGTTTTACTGTCACTTGGAAGACCTGTCAGCGATGAGTGTGAGAGCATGCTCTGAACAAGTTTGGGGTCATACTTCAAATCAGATTCTGCCTCTTGTGAAGCAAATAGTACTCTCTGTTTAAGGTTAAGAAGGCGAACCAAGAAGTCCTAGGGGGTCTCCCCAACCTCTTGCACCCCAGAACTAAGTAACTGGTACATTTCAGTAGCTTCGATTCTTTCTCTTCATAGTGTGATCTAAGGATCTTGCATACATTTGCTAAGGTCAGATCAGGCTTACCTTCCAGGTAGCTCCTTAACCTCAATCCAGGATTTACTGCATGGATAACTGCCTCTATTACGTCCTCTTCTTTGTAACCACGGTTTAATCCAGCATTAATTTGATGGGCCGAGCTAGTAAAGCTGAGTTGGTCTTTCTTAGCGAATCTCTGTTCTGCCCCAAAATTTTAAACTTCTTTTTAAACGTTGTCATGGTAGAAACTTCTCAAGGACACTCGCACTGGCTCCCGCGTCTGACTTTTGCATCCCAGCTGCATCGTTTGTTGTCAGGTCCACTTTTAACCTTTGTTGCCGATCCTTCTGCCCCTTCTGCTCGACAAAACTCTCAACTCCTTCAACTTCTTACTATCCAGTTCCTCAGCATCCAAATATTTTGTCGCAGTTTGAATTAGAGCGAGGCAGCCTGTGTCTTTCTCCTTCAATTTGATGTGCAACTCTGTGCATAGTTCTCGAAGGAATGCTTCATTGAGGCGATTAATCGGCCCTCTTAGCTCAATTTGTGCCTCCTCAATTTGCTCGGGTTCGTTGGCCTTTTCATTCAGTATTTAAATCATGTCGAGGTCACCAAATATTACACTGTCTTCTTCTCCTTTAACTTTATTTGGCGATCGAATAGAATCCACACAGCAACAATTTACTACCCTTTACAACAGCGGGATTTTCCATATCCCACCATGTTCTTGGGTCTCAGCCCCAGACTTCTACATTCTACATGTAACATACATGTATATCCACATATCACAGTCTACATAGTATAGCAATTACCATACACAGTTTTCCTGTTTTAAAACTTAAAACTAACAAAAGTTAACTTTATTTAAAGAGGGCATGAGCACGTGACACTTTCAATAACGAATAAACCACTTTCCAGATCAGATTTTAATCTGGACATGTTAGTTTTTTAGAGAGGGGAAACCTGTTTTACTCAGAGATTAATCTTTGGAGCAGAGAAGAGAACTGACCACATACGTTTTGGATGCTAGGACTTGAATCAAAGCCTCATTAGTGGGAGGCGAGCGCTTTCACCAATGCACCACCCCCACTCCCCAAGCATTGCCCCATGCATTTAAGGTACCACTGAGTTCTGCTAAACTCTGCAGACAGGCTTATTTCCACAAATATGTAAAATTGGTCAGTGAAACAGTTCCAAAATCTATGTCCTGGGCCACCACTTTTGTACCAAGTTTTGAGTATGTGCCATGATTGGCCTGTTAAATCAGCCAAGGTCAATTTGCCAATCAGGTTGAAGGGAAATTTGAAAAGCATTTCCAGTAATTCATTGAGCCTGTTTGGGACCCACAACAAGGATATCAGTCCTGCTACACAGACATCACTAACAGCGTTAAGATTACGTCTGCGAAGCAGGGTAGCTTTTCCAGCAGGGATACAGCTTAACCCTTTAAGCCCAAAGNGGTCAGTGAAACAGTTCCAAAATCTATGTCCTGGGCCACCACTTTTGTACCAAGTTTTGAGTATGTGCCATGATTGGCCTGTTAAATCAGCCAAGGTCAATTTGCCAATCAGGTTGAAGGGAAATTTGAAAAGCATTTCCAGTAATTCATTGAGCCTGTTTGGGACCCACAACAAGGATATCAGTCCTACTACACAGACATCACTAACAGCGTTAAGATTACGTCTGCGAAGCAGGGTAGCTTTTCCAGCAGGGATACAGCTTAACCCTTTAAGCCCAAAGAGTGATCAGCATCAAATTTCTCCTTGTAACATCAGTGCTTTGTAAAACAGAGTGGTCATGAGAATTATGGACTTGATCACACAAGATGAATTTGCTTGATATTTTATCAACTTCTCCTCACTAATTCTGTAGGAAATGAATAGGGACAACAAATGAGAATTGAAATTTTGATGTTAGGTGGCTGGGTATTCTGCAGTTACATGTACTCTGACTAGCTGATTGGTTAGCCTTACCTAAAGTATATCTCAGGAAAAAGAACACATACTTTAATGGAGAGTTTTCATGACAAGCTGAATAACCAACTTTTGTTTTTAACCTCAAAAAGTACGACACACTATTCCCCTCATTGTGCTTTAGTGGCTGATCATTTTTGATATTCTTGAAAACTCCACCTTTGTTTAAACAGTTATATTTCAAAGAATCTGATCACGCTTGACTTTTGAAGGATTCTACTCATTATCTTGTCCATGCTTTATGCTTTATTCACAGCCTTGAAGTCCTGGTAACATTAACCCCAGATGTTGGCAAAATTTTATCATCTCTGCATAGAGTCCAATTTAAGGGAGCAATAAACTTCCTAACAGCAGTTAAAATAGCCCATGTAAGTTTTTATCATTTCAATTTTTTTAGTTGTTACAGTGCGACCGGGAAAACCGTGAATGCTTGAAATATCTCAGGAATGGTTATTGTGTTATGACCAATCACAGCAAAGATCAGTATACGCAAACTGGCCATGAAACCACAAACTAATTAACATTCTTGCTTGCGGTTTAGTTTTCTCACACCTGATTGGCTTTTCTCTTGCAAGACAATAACATTCCCGAAATATTTCTGGTGTTCTACAGTTTTCCCGGTTTGACTGTAAAACCAACACTAATAGTCCTGACCCATATATTGATTTCATAAACGTTGATTTGCCCTCAAACCTAGACATTCATTTAGCAGCTCTAAGCACTTTATGGGCTCCAAAAACTGTTTCCATCTCCAGACTTCAAAAGAAATAAGAGAGGAAAATTGATCACGTCTGACTGGTCAAAATATTTAAACTAACACAATAACTTGAAGGTACTATAGTGTAGTACAGCTACTGTAGCTTAACAACCAAATGGTGATCTTGGGCCGACATTGTCCGTTGGTCGGCTGTTAATTTGAGCTAATCTCTTCTTGGGGGATTGTTTTAGGATTCTTTACTTGGCTTCTACAAGTCGTGTTTGTTGTTTGTAAAATTAGTTATCAAGTTAAACCAGAATTGCTTTTGTTTATTATGAGTAATAAGGGGCTGGGAAAAAAGGAAATTTTGATTCAAACTATTTTGAATACTCGTTTCACTTGAGAATAGATATACATGCAGTGTAACATCTACTTCCAACTTGCACGCAACGGACGTCCCTGGGAACAGTCTTCTCTTGATTAATACAAGTGAAAAATCTCTATTTTAAGTTGTCTTGCTAGTGAATTGATGCTCATTATTTACATTTCTTCTGTATTTTTTTCTTTTTTTCACCTTTCTGTTTTCCTACTTTTCCGTTTTCTTTACTTTATTTTCAAAAAATGAATTTTTAAGTATCATTTGGTTCATTAAAACCTCATTTGCTCATTACAAGTTTAACTAAGGTCAGGAGACATGTCTGTATGAAAGGAAGAGACGCCTGGATTTAACTTTTTTGTGGTCCGAGGCTGGTTTGTAAAAAGTATCGTACTGATTTGACTGAACTCTGTGAGGTATTGCCCTCAAAACAAACAAATGAAAAACAGCTTTAATCAGCCAGCTATTGATGTTTCACTTGCAGAGAATTGGACAAAAAAATGTTTTGGCTCATTGCCTTCTCTCTTTTTCCTTTTTCTCTCCAGTTGGTACTGAAACACAGACAAGGAAAAAATCACAAAATGAGAATTGTGGTGTTTGTAGGAAGTCCTGTGGAAGCTGATGACAAAGATGTAAGTTGGATTTACAAGTTAAGCTTTTTCATTTTTGAATAATAATAAATTATAACAAAACGCAAGTAAATTCAGGATTGCCATTGTCAGGGCAAAAACTCGTTGGGAAAAATATTTTAAGGTAAGAGAAAGGTGGAGAAGGGAAAGTCTTGTGGTCAGAGTCAGTGAAGAGGGAATTTTATATATTCTCAGCATGTCATGGGGTTTTGTGAAAGCTAAAAGAGGATAATATCCTCTAAAGAATTTTAATTGAGAAAGGTTTGAACCCAGGAGTCATTTCAAAAGAACGTTGAGTTTGATCGTCCGGGCGAACGTAGTCCTGAATAGGACTGTTGTTGTTGACAGTGACTGACATTTCGACAACCTGTGTGGTAGTCATCTTCAGAGTCAAAGGGAGTTGTATCACGTCAGTTGATGGTATAATCAACTTGTATCACGTCAGCTGATGGTATTTAATCCTCTAAATTTTGTTTAAAAAATCCAAATCTAATAAAAATGTTAAGATAAAGGAAATGAAACAAAAAATACTCACTACCAGTAAAAAAGGGTCAAGGGGAATGTGCAAATATGTAAGTCCAGAAAACCTATTTGAAGATTGATCGCTATTACCTTGTTTTAATGTGCAGCAACCCTTTTAACGTTAAAGTTCTGAGTGATAAGTAAGTACCCATATTTGGATCACTGTCAGATGGAAGATAGCATTCAAGGCAGTGAGCATCAACTTATCAGTGCATACAACGTATTTGAAGGCAGAGGTAGCCTTTAAATTATAGCCACTTCTCATGGCCCTTTGCCTCAAGGGATATTTAAGGAGAAATTACTGTCTCTAATTAATGTGGTGAGTGATATGAAATTGCTGTATTTACAGGTGTAGGTGGAGGTTCTCAGTTTTTTTTTTCCAAATTTCTTTACAAGTGTGCAAAAGTCAATCACAATAATGCACTCTTAACAAAATATTCATTGTGAAAGGTTTGAACCCAGGATTTTTGACTCTGAAGATAACTACCGCACAGGTTGTCGAAATGTAAGTCACTGTCAACAACAACAATCCTATTCAGGATTAAGTTCACCCGGACGATCAGACTCAACCTACTTTTAAAATATTCATTATTTGTCCATGATAACGGTAAGCAACAGCACACCGTTCTGACAGCCTATGATGTAAAGTTGAAGTCGCCAGCATTCTTACATGTCAATAAAATATCTTATATGTATTATGTATTTTATGTTTGTAGCTTGTCAAGCTAGCCAAGAAGCTGAAAAAGGAGAAAGTGAATGTAGATGTTGTTAACTTTGGAGAGGAGGTATGAATCTTGTTATAACAGTCTTTAATAATTGCATTTTACTACAATCACAAAGTTTTGTATGAGTTAGAGCAGTAGTTTTCAAATCAAAATTCGTGCTCTATCATGAATGACTCAATAAAGTTTTGAGTTTTTGGGGGAAAGTACCTGTTACAAGTGAGTTAACTGCTTGTATTTCTAAGGCGGGTGCTTAGATTTCATCTAGTAAGGGTTCCAACCAGTCAGTGGAATCCTAAATAAGCCTCTAGGGCAGGGCTCTTACTAGGCCGCGGGTCAGGTATTTCTTCTGGCTTCTGAGAGCATCACGCCCAGCTACTTTCTCAGGAAACAAAAGGAAAGGAGAAGTCCTTAGCTGTTTAATTCCTTACCTCTCTGCAATGGCCACTTCTTCTGTCCCCAAGGTGGTCATTGAAGGGAGGTTTAACTATAGTAATAAGGCATGTGGCTGTTAAAAATGAATACAGTCGAACCTCGCAGTCGATTAACGGGACTTTTCGATTACCCGTTTTTTTTTCCTGATCCCGTTATTGTCTTGCGTATTCATAATAATATTATCGTTAATATCGTTGGCACTCCATCGATAGTTATACCTAGTCTCATTTCCAGCGTGTTGCGTTATTTGACCCCGATGCGTTTAGGATTGTGACAAGGTTCATTGCGTATGCAAATTTTTTTCGTGGAACTTCACAACAAAAGATGAAACACCTTTATAGTTTCAAGAAAATAATCCTTTCCACAGGAAGGGACCAAGAATCTGTCAAATGTTGGAAAAAAGGAATCTTTTGCTATGCAAAATACGCTTGATTTGCTCGTTGGCACTCTATCCATTTTTATACCTAGTCTTATTTCCGGCGTGTTGCGTTATTTGACCCCGATGCGTTTAGGCTTGTGACAAGGTTCATTGCGTATGCAAATTTTTTTCGTGGAAGTTCACAACAAAAAATGAAACATGTGAAGTTCATTTTCAAGAAGGAGATTATGAATTAAACCTGGAGTGTTTATTCGCGATATAACAGCTACGGTTTCATGGCAGTATTATAAAGAGTTAGTTACACCTATTGTACTCATGTTTCGGAAATATTTTTGAGATATCATCGTTAAAAAAAAAAGAAACGACCGAAACAAGGGAAACCCCGAAACGATTTCGCTTGATTTGTTCTTCGTTTTGGTTTTGGTTTTGGTCGTTTTGGTGCTTTCGCTCATTTCGTTCCAATGGTTTCGTTTTGTTGTTTCGGGTTTTAGCTGAGGGCAAACGAGAAGTGAACAAATGAATAAAGTTCATCTGACACGGCTTTTCAGACGGTATTCTGGTTACATTTTACCAAGATACTTCAAGTTATTATGCTCCATGTTTACTATCCGTTTAGCGTTCTATAAGTAACTGTTTTTCCTGGAACGATCTTGCCGACTCATCCGTTTTCAAACGTTTCCAGCTGTCCGTTTGTGGACTTAGGTCAACCGTTTAACGGTTTAAGCTATCCGTTTTGGGATTTTGGTCAACCGTTTAACGTTTTGAGCTAACCGTTTATATTTTTGGTCAACCGTTTAACGCTTCAAGCTATCCGTTTTTGGACTTTGGGCAACCGTTTAAATTTTTTGCTATCCGTTTAAAGAGTTATGGAAACCGTTTAAACGCTTGAGTTAACCGTTTACTATCCGTTTAGAACCGTTTTTCTTGACCGTTTAACGGAAAAGCGTTAGTGTCCGTTTTCCCAAAGAGGGTCACATATGTGATCTTCAAAAATTGAAGCAATTAAAAGTTCACTAATCCTTCCAAACGTGTGTTTAAAACACTGTTGTAATCTGTTTTGAACAGGAACACTTGAAACAGTATTTTTTTTATTTGTGAATACATACCGTGATACATACAGACCGTACATAAATGCAAGTAGGATCTAATTCACACTTAACTTTTGTTTTCTTTATTCCCTGTGTTTGCAGTATTGCCTCATTAATATTCATATTTTCGATTATCCGGACTCGCCATTATCCAGACTATATACTCAAGTCCCAACGAATCCGGATAGTTGATGTTCGACTGTATCAATAATTAAGTAAATAAATAAAATGCTTGGTTTAAAAAACACTGGGCTAGAATGCACTCTGAGGTCAAGCAAATTCCAGATCCTACAGCCAAGTTCTGCCTCAAAGCCTGAGGACTTAAATCGAGAAAAATACAGAATACATCTTTTCTTTCTCAGACGATAAATTCAGAAAAGCTGACAACATTTATCAACACCATCAATGGTAAGGATGGCAACTTGTGTCACTTGGTAACTGTACCACCAGGCCCGCTGTTGTCCGATGCCCTCATTTCATCCCCCATACTTCAAGGTGAAGATGGAGCAGGGCCAGGAATGGAGTATGCCTCGGAGTATGGCTTTGATCCCAACTCTGATCCAGAACTTGCACTGGTGAGTGGTTCCAAGAGTGACCAATATCAATATTCTCCGTACAATATCAATATGTAATGAACAGAAAAGGCTATGAGAGTTGGTAAAATGATTATCCAAGGGGAGACACTTTGATCTCTCATCAAATTCTCTTAACTGCCGCTTGGTTAGCTCAGTTGGGAGAGTGCCGGTCTTCTGAGCAGTTTCAAACAGTGGCTAGACCAACACTCAGGGTCTTTAAATAACTGAGAAAAAAAATTATGCCTTTGTAATGACATGTGAAACGGTTAGACTTTCTAGTCTTCTCGGATAAGGATGAAAAACTGTAGGTCCCGTCTTTGCAGCACTTTCGCTTATCTGGTTCTTGTGGGATGTAGGAAAACCCACTCCATTGTTCTTAAAGAGTAAGAGACGTAGACCCCGGCGGTGTGGCCAATCTTTCCTGGCCTGGGTGGGTCATCTGTAAGGAGAGATCTTAAAATATGGATAACCTCTTGACCCTCCTTCAGGATTCGTAATGGCTTCCTGTAAACAGAGTATGTCATGTTTAAGGAAGTGTAGGGAGATAACTTCAGAGAATTTGTGTGTTGATATTGGGGATCAAAGAGTTAATGCAGAAACCACAACAGGCCTGCCATGGTTCCCATATAAGCACGAAAGTACATGGAGAGTCCTTGAAATTTGTTGCATAATTTGACAATAAATGTTACTGGCAGAAAAGTGTAGCCGAACAAAAATGATAAAAAAGCAAAGCTGATTACTGTTGGCTTGAGTTTGCACTGCATGGCGTCCTTTACAAATAGGAATTGTATCCTTGAAATTCCTTGAATTTTTGGTCTAAAAAAGGGTACGAACAATGCGTTTTTTGGTACCAGTTGCTTTATCATGTATATGAACTTAAGTTTAAATTACGTACTTGAACTCTATCCATTTATCTGTATGTTTTTTGTCCTTGTTTTCTCTTTTGCTAATACCAGTATAACTGAACATGTTTTGTTCGTGTAAATGGGGCTGTAGAGAGATCTCTGATGGAAGTTGAACTGAAAAAAAAATTCAACCTGATTAGTTTGAAGTGAATAGTAAGCATGTTACATGCTTTGTAGATCACAAAAGTAAAGGAATGACCCCCATAGGACCAGGTAGAAAAGGTCTTCATCATTAAACAAATGCTGTTATTCAGCATCTCAGAATATTATAACATTTATACTACTACATGAGAAATTTCTGCAATTTGATTGGCTTAGAACAGTGGTATTTCAGCTTAATTTCAAATACTTACATGTGAAAATTACAAACCTTTTGTGGGTAGTAGTATAAACAAATAATGGCATGATTTGTACGTGATATTTGGCAAAAATACCACTCGTCATATTTCAAAATTGTCTCAAATTTCACTCGCCTAACGGCTCGTGAAATTACGTATAACAATTTTGAAATATAACTCGTGGTATTTATGCCAAATATCACTACAAATCATGCTACTACCTATACTAAGAATAATTATGCATGCTGGTGTTAGGATTTAAAGGGACTGGTTCACGGTTACAGGCATATGCGAGCGATGACGCAAGTTCATCGTTTATGAACCAATCACAAATGAGAGCATAAGTCACGCCGGTTTTGCGAATGTTTCGCGATCAGTCAGCTGACTTCTCGCTCATACATATTTAAAAAAATCTTCGTGTAACGCGAATATTCAGAGGTTTTTCTTTTGAAAATGTCTTCCGCACCGTTGAAACTTCATTCTGCAAGTGCAGTGGTGTTTGTTCTTGGAAGGATGGCAGGAAAGCGAAATGAGCAGTAGTTCACATCAAAATGTTGTTCATAATCTCGAGGTCTAGAGCCTAGTTTGGTTAAAGGCACTATGTCACGAGGATAATGTTGTCTTGGGTAAATTTTGTTCCGAAGTCATAACTTAGTGCCTTAACTCATACACAAAATGCTTCTGTAGAGTTAGGGCCTGTTTACATGGAGGTGGGGGAACCCAGATAGGTGAGGTAACATGTGCCTGGTCACCCCACCTAACATGTAAACGTGATCAAATTAAAATGAGAGATTATGTGGACAGGCGGGTTACCCACCAAAGCGGGTTACCCCCACCTACCTGGGGTCCCCCACCTCCATGTAAACAGGCCCTTAGAAATAAGATGTCAAACAAATTTCACCGGGCAGCACTAACCATAATATTTTTTGGTGATTTTTGCAAGCATTAAACCTTGAAAAACGTTGGCCCAATTTTTTTTAAGTTAATAGTTTATGTCTTAAATAACAAAACTGGACCGTTTTTTTAAATTAAATTAATGCAAAGACAAATTTTAAGCTTTTCAAAAAGATAGCAAATAGCGTGAAATAGCCTCCTTAAACAGTGGAATTGAAAAGGTTGCATTTATTTTTTAGGCTCTTCGTGTGTCCATGGAAGAACAGCGTCAGCGACAAGAGGAAGAAGCCCGGAGAGCCACAGCGGCCAGTGGCGATGACACGCCCACCCCCCAGGCCCCCATTGCAGACAGTGAAGAAGCAATGCTTCAACAGGCTCTATCCATGTCTACTCCACAGACACCAGTGTTTGATTTCAGTGCTATGACGGAAGAGCAGCAGATAGAGTATGCCATGAGGCTGTCGCTTCAAAACATGGAGGCGGAGTCAGGGGCTGACGGTGAGAAGGATGTAGAAAAAGACAAAGATGAGAAGCAAGAACAGGCTGGAGCCAGTGCTATGGAAACAGATACACAGGTCTGAGTTCTCTTCTTACTTTTCTTTTTTATTGAAAGGTACAATAGTTTTCGAGTATCTTATTACAGGAACTTTAACGCCTCATGAAATGAACGCGAATTTCAAAACAAATTCGCGTGAATTTAAGTCGGGACGAGGTTGTTTTAGCTCAGCTGTTTATGTTAGAACCGGCGAAAATTGCGGAGAATTTCATCCGTTTCCCGAAGAAGAAGGAGCCGAACTACTGCCTAAAAAATTAGCATGAACAGAGAAAATACAACTCGAGGGATGACAACCGTCATAAAAAGAATATCGACTAGACTAAACTAATTTGCCCCGGGGGGTACTCCTGGGAATTCTTAGTGGGGGTGTGCCGCCCGGTTCCCCAAATCCTGACCCTATTTCAAACCCAAAAATGTTATTTTCCACACCCGTTTTCAGACCTGGCCTTTAGGCAGAAATTATTTCATCATTACTTAGATCAGAGCGCAAGCAAAAAATTTCTTCAAATGCATTTCGCATTCACATATTTCTATTTTTCATATTCATTTGGAATTGAAACGATAAATACGTTCATTAGTTCTCGTGGTTCCCTCGAAAACCATACCCTATTCCAGACCAAAATGGACAAAGTATATACCCGTTTTCAAACCAAAAAGGCCCAAAAACCCCACCCTTTGGGGCGGCACATTCCTATACGACTTATATAAGGGAGTACCCCCGCCCCCCGCCGGGTAATTTGCTGAGGAACTGCCAAATGGAGACGGGAACTTAACATCGATCGAGGTGAGCATTTTTTCTTAAGTAAGAATTATTTATAGAGGATATTACACGGTGGCGCGAAGATATGAATTTTATTTTCGACTGGCAAAACAATATTTTACTCACTCGCTGCGCTCGTTCGTAAAATATTGTTTTTGCCACGAGAAAATAAAATTCATATCTTCAAGCCGCCGTGTAATGTTCTTTTTATTATATAGACAACAAGACGTCGATAAAATAATAGATTTTTATTCGCGCAAAAAGTAATTGTGACGGCTCAAATTTACAGTGCAGCAATATAAGACATTGTTTACAATAATCTTGAGAAATAACACTGAGCTGAATAGGGCTCTACAATGACAAAATATAAGCAAAGCTTTGAAAAATGTGCAAGTAAAATTCAAAAATTTCGAAGGGAAATTACCAAAATTACATCATCGATAAACTCACGTTTGAGATTATGGAAAATAAACCACTCGGGTCCCGGATGTAGTTTTTATTAATTTTACGAGTGGTATATTTTCGAGTAAAACATTAGTGTCTATATAATAATAAATGAATAAAACAATTATTGAATATGGCTTTCGCATGATCTGAAGAATTATTTAGATCGAGGAGTGTGTTATTTTAGTCGGAACTCCTGGTGGCAAAAACAATATTTTACTCACTCGCTGCGCTCGTGCGTAAAATATTGTTTTGCCACTCGAAAATAAAATTCATATCTTCGCGCCACCGTGTAATATCCTCTATATACTTAGCCTCATTCATTAATTAACATTGCTAAACATCCCATAAAAGTCTGAGTTATCTAATTTAGTTATAACGTTTGAGCCTTTCGACATAACACTATCGCGTTGAAATTCAAATGAGACACCTTCTTCCCTTTTTAGTAGTTCATAAAAACATTTCAAATGTGTGATGCTAGAGCAAGCTGTTTGGGGGGCCCAGGGGGGCGGGGGAAAAGGTTTTCTCTCCCGCGCCCTGATTCCCCCATGGAGCTACAATCTTGGACAAAAAGTGTTAACAATTTTGCACTTCCTTACCCACAGAACGCCTATACTGCGGATTTGGCACCGCTATGGCCCCTCCCCTCGCCCACGCTGACCCTGTTTTCTTAGTCGGGATCAAAAATGAGCCAGCCGGACTTCAACATTTTTGTTTTGCGGGGAAGGGGAAGTATTTGTAGTTGCCAGTGCTTTTAAGAGCTTTATCTTAAACTAGACATAGTAACGTCCATTTTTCTCAACATTTTTGTCGAAGATTGTAGCTCGCAGGCTAGTGGGAAAGAAGTGCAGTGTCTCTGTTGTTACACTTTTTTAATTTCTTTTTCTTTTGTGTGTGTGTATATTCAGGGAGATGGGACTCAGGACATCACAGAAGTCATGTCCGATACAGACTTCATTCAAAACGTTCTTAAGAATTTACCCGGAGTAGATCCAAGTAGTGAAGCCATACAAAAAGTCATGGTATCACTCGCTCAGCAAGATAGCGAAGATGCTAAAGGCAGAGATGACCAAGATGAGCCCATGGGCGAGGAGGACACCGACAAAGACAAGAAAAAAGACAAAGAATAACCACCGTCTCTCTCTTTGTAAATACGCTTTGCGCTTGAACGAGAAATTTCCGAGATTGTGGCACGTGTAAAGAGTTTTGTGAAAGTTACGCGACAGTATTGTTTCCTAGCTATGACGGTGAATAAATCAGTCAGAAGTAACTTCTAAGTTGCTGCAGTGATTTCTTATTTCAAAATTTTTTGTCACGCTGAAGATAGCTTAATTCGCATTTGTAAACAAAAAAATTGTTTCCCCGGTTTTATCGATAAATTCAAGTAAAAAAGACAAAGCTTTACCTGTTAAAACTTCCAAACGGAACTTCGTGAAATTTCGTTGTTTGTTACGGCAGCACACCGGGAAGGCATTTTGCTCGCAACTTGCGCGAGTTTGGCGTCGCTCGCTCGGAGGAACTGGAGGTGAATCAGTGAATAGTGCAGGATACTCACTGATTGAGTAGCCAATCAGAGCGCACGAAAAACACTATCCACTGTTTTAGTATATACTAAACTGTAGGTTTTAAACTTGACATCCAAAGTCCTGGCATGAGCTCTGTTCTGAAAGATCCTAACGAAAAGTGACGTACAGAGGAGTTCATGGTGAACTACAAGTAACTCCAGGTCCAACGTAGCTAGCGGGTTGGAAAAAGAAAATATTCTCGCTGCGTACATAATTGGCCCATGACGCGGGAGATAACTCCTTTATATTCCGTCGTGTTGGGCCTGCGCGCTGGTGGCCTGATGCATTGTGGAAAAGACAGATGACAGTTCAGATTAGAACAAGCGCGGCGGAAATCGCACCGAAAATTCTGTTTTTTGGCGGGGGCGGGGTGGGGGTGTAAGTAAGTTCCACCCGGCTGATAAAGGTCCCCAAGTAGCCGTTCCTCTGATGCCCTAACGCTGACCAGAACAGTGAGCTGGAGACAAAAACCAAATCCAACAAATTGAACTTTTGGTACGCAGTGGTGATTATTAGACCAAGGAAAAAAACGAACATTTTACAATTCCAGTGGAAGTATAGAAACATGAAAACAATAGGGCCGTTTAAAACGAGGAAAAATAAGACGCGTCTTACATAAGACGCGTCCTAAATAAGACTCAAACTATCCCGTATAAACGGCACATTTCGTTTGAAATTTAGCTAAAAAAAGACGCGTCTTATCTAAGAACAGCCCCTAACACCTGTTCTTCGATAAGACACTTCTTAATGTGCCGTTTATACGTCTTATTTTTCCTCGTATAAATGGCCCTAATGATTTGGTCGGTTGTCAAGGATTCAGTAGAAGCAAAGGTTTTACTGATGAGGGGCGAAATGTCAGCCTCGTTGTTTAAATAAGCAAGGTCCGACATTGTGTCTCGGAAAAAAATAATAATCACCAAAAATAATCACCTTTTGCCTCACTTTAGAGTAGTTCATGTGTCAGACTCTTTAAAAAAATGACGAGAATTCCCTGATCTTAATAACGTATGTTGTTTACTCGGTGGAGTCATAAGGTGGTTGCCATGTGTTTGCCTCGGGGCACAGCAGCGAAACCAGTTGTTTGTTTGTTTGTTTTTCAAGGTAGTTTCGCGTATTCGTCGTCGGTGCACAAAATTGACGAGACTAAAGGAGATGTCCTCGTTAAAGCTGGGATCAATTGCGTTTAAAAACTTAAAAGCAATAAAAGAAGGTGGAGAATAAATTAGCAAGTTTTGAAACATATGGCTGGGGTCATATTTTCAGTATTTTGTTACATAAGTTACATGTTTCGTCTTGTAACATTCTGAGTGTTCAAAGTAATTATTTCCAGCTTGATGCGAGAAAGGCAAAATCCAGCCAATTTAATGCAGAAATAATTTCAAAACCAGCGTAGCAACGGTGCTAATTTAGACTTGCAAAAAAGTCGCATTATATTTATTTTTGTCAGAGAGTCGGTCTCTCGCCTCGCGTGTTAACTCGCGCGAATACACGATGCTTCACGCCTTCCATTCAACATCTCTTGCCTGCGTAGTTGTCGACCGTATTGGGAAAGAGCCTAGGGGACGACCCAACGATTTTTTATACACGGACACTTTCTTTCCTTGTAAGCGAGCGTTATGGGCTTCTTATCTAGTAATGAAAAAAGGGGGCAATTAGCTGGTGTTTTGACTTAGTCAGTTGCTGTATTGTCCCTCTCTAGTCTGAATTCACAAATATTTGCAGCTTTTATGAAATAAAGATTTTTAATATTATTTTCCAAAATTATTTACACGTTCACTTTGACGAGTTTTAGTATAGAGCCTACGTAGAAAGCGTTTCTCCGCAAGTTCGTTTAGTAAGTCGCTCTCGACAGATCTCGTCAGGCGTACTAGCGCTAGTCAATTTTGAAAAGTTGCAAGGCCTTGCCCATCGATCTGATTGCTATATTCTGATGGGTTACCAGCATAACAAAGCAATCATACATCATCCTTGATATTTACAGGTTAATATACTTTAACAAGTACAAACATTAACCCATAAAGGACTGCAAAGGACCGCAAACGAATATGCCGAAAAACGTAGGATCTATAAAGACGTGATCAGCAAAAATAATAATGTAGACATATTAAATTCCGCAAGCAGAATACTGCAATACTGATCGTACTATGTACTTAGTGCGATCACAGAGCATGAGCAGCATGAGCATTACAATATTCTGCTTGCAGAATTTAATATGTCTACATACTTTAACAGTTAACCTTAATGCTCTACAGTTCGAGAATAGTATGCTATATAATATGTCCCTACTATAGTCAGTGATTAGCCTTTCGAGCTGATACGAAAAGCTATCCGGTCAGTACAGTCTGACTTTTTATGAAAATTTGCAAATATGTTAATTCCCCTATCCGGTATAGCATGAACACCTCAGTCCGATATGTGACTCTCCATAAATCACGGTGTCCCAAGTAGTGTTAACAGAAGTCCTATCTTGTATGGTTCTCGTACCGGCGAAAAAGCTATCCGGCATAATATGAACATAGCCTTAAGTAGTATAGGCAACAAGTTTTTCTCTAGGGAGAGGGAGGGGGGTGGAATCTTAAAATGAAGAGGATCACCTCGTCCTCCTAGGGGTAGAAATCGCTATTGTTGAGTTCTTCTAAGAGATGCCAGGGGTCCGTTTCTCGAAAGTCCCGGTACAGTTTTCTGTTCCGGAAGGAACTGACAGTTTTATCATATAATCTGCAAAACTATTGAAATGGCTCCAGTGGACACCAGCTAAGAACGCTGCATCCCTTTTCACAACTGCTGTAACTGGCTCGTGTTTTGCATGAAAAAGATTGCGAAAAAAGGAGTCTTCTTATTTCTGGAGCCATAAGGTGCGCCTTTAAAAATGTTTTGATAAAAACTCTTTAAATAATGACAGCCAAGACAGATTTCCCTTCCAGTTCTTCAACTCGTGAAATTAATATCCTTTCACTTACATGAAGCCTGAGAAAGGTACTTCTTTAGGGGTGGAGCCTCTCCATATAGGCAATTATAGGGAGTACCCCCCTGGTTGACGACCTCGATAATTACAATGATAATTTCCTTAATTATCAGGACTTTCGAGAAAAGAACCGCGAGAAAAAAGGGCGTCTAGGAAGACTAAGAATGTCCAGAGAAATCCGGTGTTATGAACGGTTTAAGAAGTTTCCGTAGTTTTGACTGACCAAAGCCTCTAAACTTTTTTTAATTTTTATTGCCAGCAAAAAGTTTGCTTTTTTACCGACTTGGTGACTAGATAACCACTCAGGACCAGCTTTAACTTAGCTTTATGGACACGTCCTCTATTTTCTCTGCTTGGGCGCGCGCGCGTGCCGAGATGAAAAACCTTGGTGTTAACGTGCGCGAGCTCCCTAATCAAAAATTATCGCGGAAAAATGGGTCGAGAAAACTTCTATGTATAGGATAGCTTAAAATGAGATTTTGTTCAAGTTCAAGGTCAATGATGGAAGAGTACGGAGACAAGGATACTTGCAAAAATGACAGTTCGGTGTAATGAAATATTAAAATTAAATGTATACAGAGGGATGCGGCATGCTAAAAGCATTTATATATCTTACTGCTCAATAAAGCTGTCAGTTCGGGCCCGTGGCAATTAAGACTAATGGGTTTGGGATACGAGCAAATTGGCCAAAGTAACGCTATCGCCGCCGTCCGTCAATAATATCAGTATAAGATCGAAATAAACGTATATATTTTTACATGAAATGTTTGTTATTGTCGTTCTTGTACCTGAAATCAAAGTCTTTTCTAGGCTCCAAGATAGTGGTGAAAAGTCGTTCAGTAAAAAGAAATGCGAAAAAACGCGCGCGGGCTGTGGAGAGACAGGGATTATTCTCGCTTTTACGTCCCCACCAGCCACAGGCTACTGAAAACAGGAAGTTTTAACAACTTGAAGAGTTGTGTTCAGACGTGTTTAACAGTTTTGTATACAAATAAGGATGACCAGCTTATATTAGTCAAGTTAGAAATTTACATAGATAATTCCTTTCATAATTCATACACTTCAACTAGTGACTGATTCCAGGCCCCTGCTCATTCCTATCCTTTCATATACCAGGAGCCCCCCGTACTGCATTAGCCTGTGTACAGAGCCCCCCGGGGAGGAGTCTGTACACAGGCTAGTACTGCATACACATGATGTTTGAGAAAGGTATCCCTTTCAGGCGGAACCTCCCCTAGTGGGCCATTATAAGAAGTACCCCCAAGGCTTTTTCTCATAAAATACGTTTACTTCTGCTTTCAGTCTAACAAATCCATACGAATGTAATTTGTCATCCACCCAGCCTTTATCATGACAGTATCAACCCTTTAAGCCCTAAGAGTGATCAGCGTCAAATTTCTCCTTGTAATATCACGGCTTTATAAAACACAGTGGTCATGAGAATTGTGGGCCTGATCACACAAGATGAATCTAATTGATACTTCAACAAATTCTGCCCGCTGCTTCTATTAAAAACATATAGGGACAACAAATGAGAATTTGAATTTTGATATTAGGGTTTAAAAAGTTAAGTTTACTGATAGGGAGGAAAATCGGAGCGGGGTCGGCCAAGTTCTTAGACCGGGTAAATTTCGTG